TAGAGGGAAAATCGTATTACGGATAAAAACCTCCAGCTATCCTATTTCCAACCCTAACCCTAGCCCCCGCGCTTAATACGCCGCCTCACTACGTCGCGCTCGGAGGAGATTTTGGTTACTTCATCGTTTATCGTCTTTTCTTATTATTATTTTATCGTCTCGGTAGACTTTTTAATACTTCTAATTAACTAAGCTACTTTTAAAATAAAACCCCACCCCCCCTCTACCCGGCATCAGTATTACAGCGTCGGGTATTACTTCTTTCATCCTATTTTTAAGGTATTGGGGGTAGAAGGGAGGGAGGGTTTTACTTAGAATCTTCGCCGATTGGCTTCTATCAGCTATATAGTATATACTTTAGTAGGCCGGAATTAGTAAAATAATCTAATTAGCTATTACGTATTGCCGTACGGGTTCTGGATTTTGATACCGAGCTAGTACCGTGGCTCCGAAATGGATTTTGCAGGTAGGGTTCTAATTCTAAAACCCTATTGGCTAGAGTGGAGAGAGAGGCCGTTTCTTTAAGTAGGGATAAATTTTATACGTGCCTAGTCACGTATTGCTAGGGCTTTGGACTAGAGCGGGCCCTCCACATTTTTAACGCTTATTTAGGGAAGAAAGCGGAGAAGAAATTCCATCCGAAAAATCGGATGAAAGAGAGGGGAGCGGGATTCGAACCTACGACCTTTCGGATGAAACCGAAGGTGAACTAAGCTCAGATCTTCCCAACTGAGCTATCCCCCCAATAACTAATATAGAAATTAATAATTAAACCTTTAATAATAAAGTTTTTTACAATATCGTCGGCGAAAGTAAATTTTATAAACTTTAATAATTTAAAAGTAATAAACCTATTTTTTTTTACAAAAGAACGATTAATAAAAATTATCGCCGAATAATTATTATCGACGAAAATTATATAAAACATTTTGCACAGTCCGAATAATAAATAAGAGGAAAGGAATAATGAATTTTAATTAAAATTATTTAGCGAATTAATAATAATTATCTCTAAATTTTCATAAAATTCCCGGGAACTTTCCTATATAAACCTTTTTTACTTCTATAAGCAATTATTTATAGAATTTAAACATTTCCCTAATTAGCGCTATTATTAATATTATACTATTCTTTATCCTTATCCTCGTTTTCGCTAACGTCGGCAGCGCAAAGATTAAAATTCCTATAGCCTCTTTAATTAACAAAGGGGCGGCCCGAAGAATTATTAATTCCTAAACCGGAACCCTAACCGTTATAACCTCTTCAACCGCCCCGGCCGCTACAAGAAAATCTCTAATTAAAATTTCTACAACTACTACGGACATTATTATTCTAAGGACTTTTATTACTATAATTAATACCGTTCTTATAATCGTATATAATATAACCTTCCTAACCGTACTTCTTATATAACCTGTCCTTTATATATTAATTAAAAACATTCAAATAATTAATATAAAAAATATAAGCTATGTCGAAATCTATAACATCGCCCTCCTAACTAATAATATGGTCCTTAAAACTATTACTACCACCGGAATTACTAGAATTAAGATTAGAATTATTATTACCTTTAGTAGACTATAAATAATTAATCCTAATATAATACTTATTTTCCTCGATATTACATATAAAATCGTAGTAAAGAGTTAATTATTCTTCGTAATAGGTATTATTAAATAAAATACGTTAAATAATGATAGCTACGTAGAATTTCAAAGAGATTTTATTATACAAATAATAAATCTTTATAAAATCATTCAACCGATAATGGTTAGCAGTCCTAACGAATTTATCCTTAAATATAGTAAAAAAACGATTACTTTATTTAAATTCATTTAAACGGCGTATAGTACCGAATTTTAAATTAATATTATCGTAGCGGGAGTTTGGGAATTTAATAAATTCAAAGCCCGTCGCCTACTTTTATTTCTTAGAATCGTCGGAATTAGCCAAAATATCAAAAATATTTCTTTCGACGAATATATTTATTTAGGGGCCTAATAAATAAGCGATATAAATAATTTTAGTACATTCATTAGAGAAACGGAAAATATCGAAAATCTAAACTATTATAATTTAACTCTTTTAAGTAATATAGGCCTTATTCTACTAAATAGGGTCCTTCTAAGTAACTATAAAAGCTTTAAAATTAAAAAGTAATACTTTTTTAAAAAGGATTATAACGACGTAAAAGAATTTTAAAGCCAGCTATAAAAACCCCAAAATTATTTCCCAATATACTTCTACTTCCCGTACCTAATCTTCTACCGATATTATTACCCTCCCTACTATCGTTAATAAAATTAACTATACTATTATTAATTCGTTTTACTTAATCGAATTCTTTTTATATTTTTCAGAAGACTAATTATATCGAGTCGGTAATGCGTAGTATTTATTTAAATTCGTTCTCGAAAATTACGTTCTTCTTCTCTTCCGCTTAGAACTTTTCTAAAAATTCTTTTAACTAATCGGAAATATTATCGGTATAATAATCGAATATTTAAATTACCCGTATAATAGGGTTAATAATAGTACGAAAGACGTTTATATTAACGAATTTAACGGCTATAATAAGGGAGCTTCCAATAGTTTCCAAAAGCGTAAAATTATCCTCCTTAATAATTCTAATAAAGTTTTCGATAATAAAGGTTGGGGGGATGCCATTTAAAACTATAAGGCAAATTTCCTTATTTATTAAGGGTTAAATAGAATCTTTTAATTCGCTAGCAATTTCTAATTCGGTATTTTAAAAAACGTTTAGAATGTCGACGTCCTCTTAAATACATATTAGTAACAGTTATTATCCTTCTAATAAGATCCCTACGTTGGTAATAATAATATCGCTATCGAAAATTATAGACTCCTCTTTACTACGGGATTTTCTCGGCGATTAGTAGCGTCGCAATTACTATACTAAATAACGTACTTCTTCCTTATAATATACGTTCGCAACCTAATAGCAAGTATAAATAATTATTATAGAGCAAAGCGATATTAAACGTTAGAGGTAGATTAAGACTTATATATTCGTATAAAGAAGAAAGGAAGCTATAGAATATATACGTAGTTCGTAAGGGATAAACCTAGCGGTGAGCCTATAGTATGTGTATATAACTAACCTATTTACCGCCTTAGTACCGAGGCGTCACGGCATTAGCTATAGTAATATAGCCAATTAGAGAGCGTATATTAACCCGGAAACTATTGCCGTAGTGATGCCGCGACCAGATGACAGTCACAGGCTAGCCCTGTGATAGTAAGTTCAGACTTAGAGATTATCGGAGAAGACCTAGAAATTATCGGAGGCTAACCAGCAAAACTTATAGGTTCATTAAATATAATAGTTAGCCTACTATACTTAATACCCGTATTCGATTTCCTCTTTATACTATTATAAACTTTAACGAAATTCCCCTCCTATTCGAATTTATTCACGGTTATATATTTAAAATTAAGGGGAATAAAAGTATAATTAGTAAAATTAACCGTAGCGGATGGGGAAAACGATAAGTTACTTTGATTTTATATATTTTTATAAATAGTATTATTCGTTTTAAACCGATAATTACTTTTTATAGGGAGGGTAAAGTATAAGAGGCTGAATAACCGTTTTATACTTACGATATATTCGTAAAGTTCAATAAAGCGGCTTATTAGAACGAGTCGTTCTTACTTATTTAATTTGAAGAGGAGATAAAGCCCGTTATTAAGGAGATTAATTAAGAAGTATTATTAGTTATAGATATATACCTATCTTATAATATTCAACGAATCCGTAATAAATTTATAGATAATATATTTTATAAGGTAGTGTTAGCTATAATCCTTGGTAGTTTTATTAATTTACTTTAACCTTTCGATATAACTATTAATTCGTTATTTAAAAAAATATTGAAAGAGGAGACGTTCTTAGTAAAGAAAAAGTTGGAAAGGAAGGTTGAGAATTAGGGTAAATAATAATCTATTTCTAATAAAAGGATTATGATAATTTACGTGGTATTAAAGTGCTAGAAGGTCTTACAAATTGATAAAAAGGATATAGTAATAAAGTCTTTTAAAGATAACGGTTTATTTATCTTTTTAAATAGTAGTAAGAATTACTTTATTAATATTAAAGAGATTGACCGGGTGATTATCGATTAGCGTAATTGGGAGCGCGCTATTGATATTATACGGGGTATTAACGATTTTAAAACAATTTTTAAAGGGGAGGATAATTATAACCTTTATTATATAGAGGAGTAAACTAGAATTAGGTATAGTAGTATATTTAAGAAGAATTTGGTGGTTTAATGTAAATAAAGAAGGTTGCCTTCGTATAGTAATAAAGATGTGCTTATTATTCGTTTAAGGGTATATAAATAGGGACGACGAGAATAATAGGGATAATAGTAATAATTAATAGTCCAGATAACCTCGCCGTCATTAGAATTAAAAGAATTAATATCGTTAATATATTCGATAATATTAATATATATAAAAGTAATGCCCTTAATTTCCTACTACCAACGAACTACCTTAAGGCGGTTGTCCTATTTATATTAGTGTTTACCTAGTTTAGTCATATGATAGTAAATATTGCCAATACCCTTAAATCTAACTTCGAATTCGATTTTTCGACGGCTTTTGTTACGAACCTAACCAAAGTAGGTACGTTTATCCATATCTTTAAGGGTAAGGCCTTTTAGTACGTTGGGAAATGAGGGTATTCGTGGGACGACGACGTAGTCGGTATACTTAACGAGCTATTAGGAGTCTAGGTAATCGTCGGTAACGTCTATGAATAAGGGAGTTAATAAGAGAATTAGAGAGAGATAGTCTTAATATTAAGGGGTTTATTTATTTATAGACGAGGTCGATATCGCCAAGGATTAGCTTTATCTTTATTATAGCTGGATTGCTAGGATTTTATTGTAAGGGATGGTTATAGGGAGAAAAGATAAGGGGGAAAAGATAGGGCAAAAATAGGGTATAATAATTTCGAATTTATAGTACTCCGGGGTAGCAATATATCTCCCCTACCTAAGTTGGCAGGCATACATATGCGCCACATCGGGCAGGAAAATGGCATATATGTGCCTGAAAAGCGGTTTCCCGAAAGTCAATTTCCAGAGATTATACGGTAGTTCCCAGGACTATTACCTCAGTTTTGAAACATATGCATGCCCCTTTTTGACCCCCAACTCCTTTCCATAAGCAGGTCCGTCATCGTGCGAAGCCAAATTGCCATATCCATCCAAGCCAGAACTCCCTTTTCAATACAAATCTTGACCAAACTTGCCCACAGATGAAAGTTCTATGATGCATAACCGGACCTGGTACCGTCCACCCACCCACCCAGTCTTCCATCCCTAGAGGTGTGTCATTCAACCCGCCATACTTGACCCCCAGCCTAAACCACCACCCTTACAGCCTTACTCCCCCTTCTTCCGACTCTTCAAATAATCCCTCAACTGCTCATGCTTACTCGCAAAGAACAGCTGCCGCTTATCATTCTTCCACACCAACACGCCAATCTCCTCCGCATACCTGCTCAGCGCCGCATACTCCTCCGTGCTCTCGAAGTCCTTGAACAAGAAACCCGCCGTCGTCTGCATCCTTTCGTTCTCCAGCTGCCACAACCGGATCTGGTCCACTACCGTCGGGGGAAGCACGGGTTTACCGGTCACCGTGGCTTCGCGCACCATCTGCTGATGCGCGTGCGCGTGTAAGTAGGAAATGATTTGGTCGGCGGTGATGCCAAAGCCGATCGCTTGTCGGATGGAATCGCGGGTTAAGCGGCCGGAGACCATGTTCGGGAAGCGCATGTTGAGCTGGCAGAAGAGAGCCAGGACGGCGATTTGAAGGGGGGAGGTGGTGTAGGCGTAGATGCGGTAGTTGGTCTCGATGATGATGCCCTTAGCTGTTGTCTGTGTTTTGTCGGGGGTGGCGGCGGGGCCGCCAGAGGTGCTGGTGGTTGTGCCTGGTTCGCCGGAGGGGTTGGCGGTCGCGGCGGTGAAGGCCGAGGAGACGGTGCGCAGGGCGGAGGCGGTGCTGGTCAGGGTTGTGGCGAGGCGGGTTGGGAAGAACTGCCGCGTGTCACGCGGGAAGTAGATCAGCCCAAAGTCGACGAGCGAGGGAAGCATATTCCGCCGCGTCTCGGTCAGGGCCGAGGTGTCGTAGGCGGTGCCGAGCTCGAGCGAGCTAAGCATGAACAGGAAGGAGAGCATGTCGATGCTGTCCATGCCCGAGTCGGCTGTGTGGTCGGCTGCTTCGAGCCAGAGGAGGAGGAGCGTCCATACTTGGGCGTTGGACTCTTGCAGGAGGAAGGTGAAGCCGGCTTGCGTGATGCCGATTCCTGTTCGGGTGTCGGGACGTCGTTCGACGAGGCGTCCGGCGAGGAGCAGTTCCTTGACGCTAGCTTTGGGACCGCTGACCCCTTCTGAACTGCCGTGTACTCCAAGACTGTTGACGACGTAGTGGAGGATGTCGTCCCACTTCTTTCGGGCGTACTTGTCGAGGTAGGCAATGTCGATGGTGGGATCGACGGGGAGAGAACTAGGGACACCGAAGCTGCCGTCCTCGCCGCCACCTTCGAAGGCTAGTTGTAGGCCCTTCTTGAAGCTTGTCGTGATTTGGATTTCTTGGGTTCGGTCTTTGCCCGGTGGTGAGACTTGGAGGATGTGAAGGGATCGGAGAGCGGCAATGGTGCGATCGCGGTGTATCTTGCCATCGGCCTCTGGAGGGAACCATATGTCTAACGAGGTCAAAGGGAAAGGATCGGGCATGTAGAGTAGGCCTCGGACAATGACCTTGGCTATCGAGGGAACGAAGGAGTTAGCCAGAGGTTAGGGATTCGGCATCCAAGGCGAGGAAAAGTTGCATACCATGGTAAGACAGCATACGGCGGAAGATGGCCAGAGCTGTCGCAGGTGACTGGTATAGTCTCCTAAAAGCTGTCCCTGGCAGCTTCTCCAGGTACTCCAGGAGCTGTTGTCCGCCGAGTGACATGGTGGGCAGACGTGGCGGGCACAGCGGGCCGCTTATAGGGATTCGTTATCGCTATGTGACTGGCAATATGAAAGGTCAAGTTGAATATGCGGTAAGCGTAGTGCTTCGAATGTCGTCGAGTCCAGATCGCTCGTCGAGAGGATCACCATGTAATGCTGCTGGTAGACTTCTGTTGGCAGATGTGGATTCTTAACCCAACTTCTGGATGGAAGTGTTGTTCCGACGGAGGTTTGATTTATGCTGAATCGAGGACACGTTTATTCGGCACCCAGTGAATTGGGCGATAATGGTGTAGCTTGTCACATTCGTGGAAAAGGTTGAAGTTGCAAAAGAAGACCTTGAAGGCTGCAATTCCGATTCACGGTTGATCATCACTGCGCTGTACGCGTCGAGGATTGCCTGCCCCGTGGCACCCTTGCAGGTGGTCGCTAGGAGTGGGGACAAATGGAACCTCGAGGCAGGCACTACCAGTCCCTATCACGACGTCACCGTTCCACTGTCAAAGCGCCTGTAACAGCCCCCAGTCCGACATCGTCTCCAATTTCGAGCACAACAGCAACAGAAAATGGCACCCAAACTTCCACCAGCGAGATTCGTGAGATCGGTTAGTTCAGTGATTCAATTTCCAGCCGCATTGACTTGTTTGCTTACAGCAAGTCAAATAGGTCTTGAAGTCATTCATGGCCGAGTCCGGCCTCGAGCCGAGGTAAGTGCAGTGATACATGACTATCATCGTTCAAAGAGACTGGACACGACATGAAGACTGACCAAACTTGACAGACTCTTCGGACCTCATGTAAGCTGAAAATACCACAAAAATCCCATGAGTTCGACCAACACGCAACTCACATCGCCAAATCACCTTAGCTCCGAGTTACCGGTGCCACCGAGGGCAAAGTCGACTTTGAGCTCGCCATCACCAAGGACCACACCAACCGTCTACAGATCATCCACGGCGGAACCATCGCTAGCATGGTTGACCTTGGCGGATCTCTGGCCGTAGCGTCCAAGGGGCTCTATGCCACCGGTGTGTCGACTGATCTGAACGGTATGTCTGCTTCCACGAGACTTCCTCCCTAGCCGGACAAAAGGATGAATACCAGGTGTTGCTTCCCGCAAACGATACTAACTTATTTATGAAACCCAGTCACCTACCTTAGTAGCGGTGGGAAAGTGGGCGAGAAGATTTCCGGAACCGCTGTGTGTGAGAAGAGTAAGTCTTTTCTTATGTTGCCCTTGCATCAGTGACCTACCCCTTGATTGACAAGACTGACCTTCATTACCTTGCCAACAACCAGTTGGCAAGACCCTTGCCTACACCACGGTTACCTTCCGCAACCAAAAGGGCGAGCTCTGTGCCCGTGGTAGCCATACCAAGTATGTCACTCAAGCCTGGAACTCACAAAATGGGGCTGAGCTCTTCACGCCTCCGGAGGGAGCTGCCATTGCTGAGGATGATGTGGAGTGAAAGACATGAAAGCCAAGTGTGGAAGATAACCGGTGCGTATAAAGCATGTATATAGAGTTGCTAACCTCGAGCGAGCGAGCGAGCGATTAGTGATGTTTCGTCTCTGCATTTGCCTTTCATTATTACCCCTTGAGCTCATAGAAAGATACCCCTGAAGCACTCACTCTGGCTTTTGTACCACTTGTTCGGCCTAGTTATGTTGGGGTATGTGATTTGCGTTGTGATTTCCCGAGAGAGAACTTATTACATAGTACCTGTGTGAGGCCTCGCGGTGGGCATAGGAATCTGTCCGGAGGTTCTGTCAACAAGGGTTTCCTATTTGCGGTAGAGCACAAGGAGGCTACTATCGTCTACCCTGCACTTTTTCACTAAGGCCGTGTTCGGTGCGGCAGTAGTACAGTAACGGAAGCCTTTTTTTGGTGGTAAAAACGCTATGGGTTAGGGTTAGAAGTGCTTCCTTTACTGCACTACTGCCGCACCGAACACGGCCTAACGCACTTCGGGGCGTATTTGCTACGTGCCGTGTCTCGCAGAATAGACCGCCGCGGTTCCCTCCCATCCTTCACAAGTACATTTCAAACATAGTCCAAATTTGCAAGCTAGGAGATAGCAAAGAGACAAAGCTGGCACGAACATGGGTACTGGATTTGGGCTATCCCAAGTGGGATCAGTTGAAGCAAAGTTGGTAGATTGCTTGGATGGCGTTCTCAAATTTGCTATGCCGAGAGCCTTGCATGTTGCTTGTACAGCAAGCTCAAAGGCCCAACTTCGTTTCCAAGCCTTCCTCAGACAACCTCCAACGCCCAGTGGTAAACCTGACGTTGTAATCCAGTCCAGGATGACTCTATCCTAGGGATTATCATACCTAACCCTTTATCCCATCAGTTTTATACACATTTTACCTCAAGGTGTTAGCGAAAACCAGCATACCAGATGCCGTCCTCCTCCTCGTCGCCTACTTTTCAACCCCGGTGCTCTTACCAGCAGTATCACCCGAGTCACCAGCGCCCCAACCAAACCAACCACTGCTTCCCTGGGTATTCGGCGCCGGCCTATGCCTCACCCTCCTGCCATTATCATCCATAATCTCCTCCTCGCCGCTCTCGGCCTCGAGCTTCTCAAAGTCCACCTCGGACCGGTTGCGGCTCAGCCCGCCCCCACTCACACTGCTGTGCTCGCTCATGGAGCGCGAATTCCTACCGCTGCGGGAGCTTGAACCCTGCCAAGGGTTGCCACCACCACCCGAAGTGAGTCCAACATCGGCGCCGTCGAAGCTGAAGCCCGGCACACCGCTCTGCTGCTGGTTGTTCTGGAGCTGAGAAGCCTCGCGGTCGAGTGCGTTAAGAACCGTGTTAAGACGCTCGCGCTGTGCTTCGATGAAAGCCTTGCGGGCGCCCACGCCGCGGATGCTGTCGGGGATGAGGCTGGAAGCGCCTCCGGCACCGGTGCCCGGTGTGGGGGTCACATCGCGGTCGAATTGGTTGCTGGAGCCCTTGTTGGAGTAAGCAGCGCTAGCGGCGCTGACGGCCGAGGACAGGAAGCTGTAGAAGTCGGTGCCGAGGGCGCCGCCCGCGGCGTTGTTAGCGCCACCCGGGCGAGCAGCCGGCAGGTTGAACCGGGCGAGGAGGGATTGGGTGTAGCCCTGCGCGGTCTGGGAGGCGCCAGCGCCGCCGCCGTAGGAGGCTGAGGCGGGCTCGGGCGGCGAAGGGGGCATGCCGAGGACTTGGGTCTTGACGTATTCGATGGCTTGCTTGAGGTACGCGAGGCCGGCGGCCTTGAGACGCTCGTGCGCTGAGGCGATGAAAGCCTCGATTTCGCCTTCGTTGGCCTCCAGCCAGGGGTCGATGTGGGTCTGGTAGATGACGCGGGCGCCCTGAGTTTGGGGGAGGACTAGGTAGAGGAGGAAGAAGAAGCGGATGGAGGCGTAGAAGGGGATCCTAGCGTAGCGCAAAAGGGTTATGTCAGTATTGTTGCTGAAGTGGCTGTCGGTGGGTAGATGATGCTCCCATCGAAGTGAACTTACCACACCAGGAACCAACCAATCCACGACTCAACGAGGACAATGAAGGATATGACGACCCAGTACATGAGCCATGGTGTCAACTGGGCGGGATCTGAACTCTTGAGAGCTTTGTAACTGGCGTAAACAGGAAAGAGGAAGGAGGCGACAGAGCTGTTTCGCGATACACCTTGTGTTAGTTGGTGGACTATCAAACGGTAAGGTGGCGGGGCAGCGCATGGCGAGCAACACAAGCTCGCTGCCCAGCGCAAAGCTGTGTAGGGAGGACTTGACGTACGAGAGAAGGTTGGGCAAGATGTCGAACATATTGACAGCAGCCTTTGTTCCCGGTAATACCGGGAAACGTGAATTCGCGGAGGTACCAGAACGTCGGGTTGTTGGGTCGAGTCTCGTTCGGCGATGATCGTTTAGTATCGTCAAGGGAAGGGGGGTTGGGCTCGATATGTGGTCAAAGGACTTGGACGTCTTCACGGAACGAGCAGTGAGAAGGAAACAAAAAGAACCGGGAGAATCGTTGAATTCGAGGTCGAGGTGACTAGGCAAGTCGATCTATTTGGATGATACGGAAGAGGAGACGAGTTGCATCGGAGAAGCAGGTCTTTGTGTAGCTGCTTCAGATGTTCGTATGATGAATGAGGTAATAGGCTGTGAATAAGCCAACGCAAGTCTGCAGATGTGGAAACCCCGTCGACGCAAGGCTACCGCAGGCCTAACAGAGACGCTGCCCTGGAGAGGCAAGGGGAGCTTAGGGAGGCGACACGGTGAGGCACGGGGTCCGGCCAGCTGAGCCAACCTTAAAGCCACCTGGCTGCCGTTCGCTGGATCGGAGCCGTGAAAGCGGGAATGACCTGCTGGTGCCCAATGGATCGAGGAGTTTCAAGACAAACAAACAGCGAGCTTCAGGGGTAGCACCGCCAGAGAGCCCCTACGGTTCCCCTCTTCCCCCGCCAGCCTCACGATAAGGGACGATAAGCCCGCGGGAAGCCCCACCATTGCCCCACTTCAACCCCGGATTTGCAAGAGTTGACAACGGTCACAGCGGAGCCAAAGACTTGGATGATCCTGTCTTTTTACCTCTCTCAGTCTCTCTTCCACAACCTCAACTTGGTATATCAACAGGTATCATCCAACTTCATCTCTGCTTCTGGATATCGATGCTCTTTTCAACGTGTAGTCAATTGTCATATGTCGACCTCCGTCAGCATCGGCTCCCGCCTTCGGAGTGTCTCACTAGAAACACCAAAGACACCACAGCCACCACAACATGAACGGTTGGGGTGGCCACTATTGGATTCCGGCATCCACTTACAGCCTTATTTTCGGAAAGAGAGTTTCGTTCCGAGGCCTCGTTGTCTCATTTGGCCTCGCGAGCCTTGCCACACAATAGAGCAATATGTGGTTCCCGAGCTGCGACCAGCCAAGATATACACGCCACCGCTAGGTATCTACACTGGTACGACTCGAGACTCTCTGGACTCCACGGATCACTGAACGATCAACTATTCTCTTTCAGCTTTTCAACTGGTTTCAACACGGTCAACCCGGTGCCTGGTCGATGGCTTTGCGGGAACGATTCGATGGTCAAAGGACGGCATCATAATGCCCGGCTTTCCTTTATCTCTAAGCCGAACTCGAATACCCGGCGTCACACCATGCTGTCGTTCCGGCACATCATTAGCCTCAACTTGAGCACCATGCGGTCGGGTTACAGCACATGGGCCGCGAAGGATGCGGCTCTGCGGCAGGTGCCCGCTTCTACCAAGACGAACTATCTTCTTGCTAACGTCGTCCAACGATACCTACCATGAGAGCTACAAGAGGCTTCAATCCCGTGAAATAGTCACCCGAGGAGCCGAGTTCCTGAACTGACAGCCGACTATTGAGACAACTGCCTCCTTGGACTGGGTCGGCAAGATATCAGGCAGGTAGCCTGCACCTCCGCTGTGTTTACGGCACCGCGAGTGTCCTTCGTCTTCACTCCGGTACTGCTCAAGTTGTGTAACAACTAGGTGCACTGATGTTGTGTAACGTGAAACCTTTCAGATGACAGGTCGGTCATGGTGCAGAGACGGGAAAATAAATCGCCCTTCTTATGCCTCCATTGATCGAAGTACCGCCGAGAACTGCAGCCGGCGCCCAGCCAGTTCTTGGTCGTCCATGGCGATGTATATATATCCCTTGAGTTTCCCGCATGCAAAGACATGACGATCATCGTGACGCTGCTATCGATGTTACAGCTTGACCAAGAGGACAACCAAGTTGACGTCGTGGAAAAGGAGCTGAGTGTCTTTGGAAAACAGCCGGATGGACGGGTAACATCACTGGTCGGTCTCTATCATCGATCGCTATCTCTGACCTTCGTATCAGGCAAACCGGAACACCACAATCGGAAATCCAGAAGTCTCATCACTGAATTGCTGTCTACCTTTGGTTGTCAAGCAGCAATTGAGTCCTCGCCCATTTTCCAGCTCGGAGTCATCACCAGCAACGGGGTTCCGAGTGAACGGTTAGAGTTGGACTCAACTTGCTCGCCGGGCCCATGGCTTCCTGCTTGAACTCTCCGGATACGAACGAGATTTGACTTGAGCATATACCAAGAGGCTTCTATCTCCACGACTCCCAAAATGTTGAGGTTCGCCAGCTCAGCCAAATGCCTTGTCAGCCACGACTAAGCATGACCACGAGAAAAGGGGCAAAGTTATGCTTAAAGATTTATCCCTCCCACATTCCGGCAATGCCATCATTGGCTGTTGCTTCCGTTGGATGTGACTCGGGACTGCATTCACGTTGCGTCTGTCCATGCCGAACCCCGGTCCGTCGATGAGGAGGCTCGGGAGGATGCGGGGGAGCCAAGCGGCGCCAAGTTTTCTGGGGAAACACCACCCATCTCCCTGGCGCTAACCAAAAGCGAATAACACTCCCGCAAGCCCATCGATAGCCTGTTTCTTCGCCCGAGGCTATGTACGTTTTGGAGAGATATTCTTTGTGCCCAACTGTTGGAGAAGTGCGGAGGACACCTGGACGCCACCAGCAGACGGACTGCTTTGTGGACACGATCTGGGCTCAAGCAGTGGGTCACTGGAGATTCTGTGGATTTGATACTCGCCCTCCCCATGGGGTAGTGGACTCCCCTTCACGGCCCGTATCATGACACTTGCATCTCATTAACGGTATTCGCTGGAGGCATCCTCCTGCCAGATCTCCAACTCGCCCTTGGTGCAATTGCCATGCGGGGGACGGGAAACGAGAACCATGGGTGTAAGCCAGGCAGAGGAATGTTGTGGTTTGTTTGGTCAATCTCACGTCCACACCGGGCCATGACCTGGAACCCGGGACCTGGCAATTGATGAACAGGGGAGAACGAGAGGGGGTGGCCTGGGTGCTCCGAATCCAGCACATTTTGGATGCTTCGAACAGTTGACGAAGCAAGGTTGCATTTGGTTGGTACTCTGGATGCGAATGTACACCACCACCACGATGCCTGTCGTGTCACCGTGAATGATGATAGGTTTGGGACCCTGCTGCTTGGCTTGTAGGCACACTTGAACGTTAACCTAGTAAGCTTGGCAGTTATCGATGAAGGATTCCTTTTCTGACCGCAATAGATAAATCCTTCTTGCTACCTTATCCATGTCGGCAGCTCCTTCCTGCATCTGACCTACAGGTACATTACGTCGGCCCTCCCCAGCCTCAGCCGCCCCTACATTTTTCATTGTTCACCATCACCTCTCATCCTCCTCATCACCTCTCCTTCTCGCCACCTACCACTCATCCACCACTGACCTCGCTCACACGAGGTCGCCGTTGAGTGTCTCATCTTCCAACCATCAGGTTACCAGCTTTTCGTATCCAGCAACAGAACCAGCTTCTCCTCGCCGACATCACATCAGCCATCACAATGGCCGCCGGAGTGTCGGAAACGGTGACCTCGGAAAAGAGGAGGCAGTCTTTGTCCGGGTCAGACACCAAGGAAGGTTATTTCGAAAATGCTCCAGGGGCGCACTACCGTGCCGAACGGGGCCAGGCCGCAACTGATATGTAAGTCGCTTACTCTGGTCCATAATTCATCTTCAATCTCCGATAGGGCGGCTGATGGGCTAACCTTCACTCAACAGTCACGGCAATCCTCTCGTTGAACTCGATCCAGTAGCCGAGACCAAGCTCCGACGAAAAATTGATCTCTATATCGTCCCGACGGTTGCGATTCTTTACCTATTCTGCTTCATTGACAGAGCCAATATTGGTGAGCAACGAGAACACCAACCGGATTGATGAAAGGCACATGGCTTACGATACTGGACACTAGGAAATGCGAGGCTAGACACATTAGAGAAGGATCTGGACCTACACGGATACGACTACAATACCGTACTATCGATCTTCTACGTCGGCTACATCCTCTTCGAGATCCCAGTAACCATCACGTGCAAATGGATGGGCCCAGGATGGTTTCTCCCTCTAACCTCGCTTGGTTTTGGAATCATGTCCGTCTGCATGGCATTCGTCAACAACTTCTCTCAGGCTTGCGGTGTTCGTTTCCTCCTTGGAGTTTTCGAAGCTGGCATGATGCCCGGAATCGCCTACTATCTTTCCCGCTGGTACCGTCGATCCGAGCTCACTCTACGTCTATCGCTGTACATCGTCATGTCTCCTCTGGCCGGCGCTTTCGGTGGCCTCTTGGCGTCTGCCATTCTCAAGCTCGACCACTTCGGCAGTCTTCATGGATGGAGAATGATCTTCGGCATTGAGGGCATAATTACCGTCGGCCTGGCCCTCATCGGTTTCCTGACCCTGACCGACCACCCTGCGACTGCCAGATGGCTCACCCAGGAGGAGAAGGACCTTGCCATTGCGCGTGTGAAGTCGGAGCGTGTTGGTCAGACCGAGATCATCGACAAGATGGACGCCAAGAAGCTCAAACGCGGTATCTTCAACCCCGTCGTCTTCTTTACCGGCTTGGCCTTCCTCCTCAACAACATCACCGTCCAAGGTCTCGCTTTCTTCGCCCCTACCGTCGTCGCTACCATCTACCCGACCAAGAGCATTATTCAGAAGCAGCTGTTAACCGTCCCGCCTTACATTGTTGGTGGCTTCTTCACCATCCTCATGCCTCTCATCAGCCGCTGGTTCGATCGCCGCCAGATCTTGATCATTGCTTGCTGCCCCCTGGTCATGGTCGGCTACATCATGTTCCTGGCTACCGAAAACGCGCACATCCGATACGGCGCCGCTTTCCTCGTCAGCACATCCGTCTTTGCCGCTGGTCCCTTGACCAACTCCCAAGTCAGCGCCAACGTCGTCTCCGACACTGCAAGGAGCAGCGCTCTCGGCTATAATGGTAAGCTCCCACATGACACTCATGTCCCCCCCCCTTCCCTTTCCTCTTCGTACAATGGAAAGCTAACCGTTTTACTTCCTTACTTTAGTCATGGTGGGCAACATTGGTGGTCTCGTCGCCACCTGGAGTTTCCTCCCCTCCGACGCCCCCAACTACCACATCGGCAACGGCATCAACCTTGCTGCGTCCGGCGGCACCCTCGTCATCTCTCTTTGCCTGTTTATCTGGATGAAGAGGGATAACACCAAGCGCGAGCTGCGCAACGCCGAGGAGGAGCTGACGGGCATGTCGCAGCAGGAGATCCAGGATCTGGATTACAAGCACCCTGGTTTCCGGTGGAAGCCTTAAAGTGCCTGTCCATGGGAAGAAGGGAATGGCTGGAAAGGGAAATGGTGCCCCGTTTGGAGGGTTCGGTTTATGTTGCACAGCAGCCACCGATTACCGATATCCGAACTGGAGGGGATACACAAAGGAATGGACGATGATGATGATGACTATGAGATGAATACCCAAGCAGATGATTCTGTTTACAAACAACCATTTTGATAATGATGATACCTACCAATTCAAGCAAAGTATGCTACACGTTGATGCTTACCTACTTCCACTTTCACCCTGCCCTAAAAGTCTTCTCAGTCCTTTTTCCCAGTAACTCTCCAATCCATAATGACTCCCATCATAGCTTCTGCTTGCCTGCATGACAACGGGCGCGGGATACATGTCACCCTAGCGGAATCTCATGTCGCAGTTCGGAGGTACGCTTTGCCAAGCGAGATCCTTCCCCTGCATGGCACTTTATCGATCTCACCCCAACAGGGGGTGGTATCAACCAATAGCCATACTCGTCAGGGCTTCAAAATCGCCGCTGACTAGTGGGTGGAGAGTATCGGGAGATACCTTACAAGGTAGCGAGCGTGGGACGAGAGAGCCGATCCACGGATATGATGGAACTTTACGCGCGGCACGGGAGGATATTGCGACATAGCTGAAGGTTGAAACAAAGGGACACAGAGGTGCGGTAGGTAAGGTACCTTAGGCTACCTGCTATCAAAGTGCCCACCGCATTTGTAATTTGTAACACCCCTATCAATCTGGTCTGGCATGTGAATGTTTAACAACGGGTGAATATTTACAACAACGGGTGAATGTTTAACAACGGGTGAGGTTACACCATGGGTTACTGTAGAGGTATGCATGGTCTCTTTGCTATCAGCCGTCGGATCCTTTTTTATTTTAAATTTTTTCTTCTTTTTTTTTTTTCTTTTTGGCATCTCTCGTGGAGCTAGTTGAGATATTGGGAGTTGCGACACTCCCCCTCGAGATACTGGGCGATAGGTAGTGCTTCAACGAATCGTTTGAACCCTTAAACAGACGTTTGAACTAATTCACATAGACGTTACCGTCCTGAATTCTACCTACTCTACTAGGTAGCTTTTCCGGCTCATAACTCCATTGCGAGGCTACCTAGTAGGGCCGACCGAGGCTTCGCTTTTCTTGTAGGATCTTATGTGACGGTAGGTAGGTACCTAGAGGTAAGGAACACTAATAATTCTTAGTAGAGGTATGTACGACTTGAAATTCCAGACATTGTGGCTTGCGGCTCTTGGTAACATGTGTTTCCTCTACCCACAGAACAAGGTACTTACATGTAGGTACTACGAGCTACGAGCCCTATTCGCATTGCACAACATGCTAAGGAGCAGTGATGTAGTGGAACTGCGATTACCCACGTCAAACATTAGTCCGGGGTAGGTGAACTTTACTCGACGGCCATGAGAAGAAATGCAGTGGAAACATCACTTAGTATTTCTCAAGAGCAATGAGATAGTGACCAAGGTTTGTCATACAAGACGTCCAAAAGGATGTACGAGCTTTGTACGATGGACAGACACTGCGCACTTTGAAACGTTCGAAAGTGTGCGAAAATGCTATGGCTCGTGACATCGTGTTTGAATCCTCAGGCGCAGTAAGTACCATTTACTGGTGAGCGCGTCGCTCTGAGCATCTACCACCGCGATATCAATCAATGTCTGCACTCATCGCCGAGTGCCGTTGTTGTTATGTCAGTTGCAGGGCAAAAAAAAAAACCGACTTCACTGATGGCCCAAGCGATCGCCAGCTCACCTCAGGCTTCTTCTTTTCTAGGTAGTCCTCTCAGTCAAACTTGTTCCTGCATTTGAGGAGGATAAAAACATGGAAAGAAGGAGCGGGGAGAGGAGAAGTACTCCCCCAGGGGAAGAAAGAAAAAGCCAAAAAGGTGCAAAAAATATGTGGCCCGCACCTGAGTTGAACCGGTACCTTCTCCTCCGCTGTTAGAAAAGAGTCGCGGAAGAAATTAAGGGAGTGTGCTACCCATTACACCAACGGACCACGGGAAAAGAGCGGCTTGGGATGAGCTTATAAGGTCCAGGTCCAGGTCCAGGTCTGCTGCCCTGGGGTTCCAGTCGGGGGCTTGGGGCTCGGGGTCTAGAGCGGGCAGGCAAGGCAGCGAGTGGGCTCGGTCATCCGGTCTCGAGGTCGAGAGCAGGCGGCTGGCGGCTGGCGGTCAGGTTTGGAGGCAGGAGCGGCAACTCAGGTTCGTTGAGATCCTGTGTGGGTTTCGTCTGAACTCCAGTCGCTGGAGAGGCACCCGATCTTGGGACATGTTTGTTGCACCGTGTCATTGGAAGACACTTCGGGGGGGCATCGAGGTAATAAACTCCATCTCTGCTTTCCTTGCTGCAGTCATGTACGTGGTTTGGGTTCAAATCTGGAGGATAAGATACATTCGTAGAGGTAGAGGAACAGTCGCCAGCACAATTCCTTTTCGGTCGTGAGGGGAGGAATCTTGAACATCACTCGTCAAAGAGCGTTGATATACTGTGAAATCTTAGAGCTGCATCAGCCTTACATGCGAGTTGATATCTTGCAAATTATTCGCGATACTCAGTTCGTGGCAGATCTTGGTGAGGCTGATTTCCGGGCTGGGGTTTCAGGGCCTGTCCGCGCATCCTTAAACCGCTTGTGTATCAAAGTCCATGGAAGGCGCACGGAATCGTCGATAAGCGCTAAGTATCGATAATATAGAACGTCTCATAGAGTACACTTGTAGGCGGCATTGATGTACGGTCAAAGCATATCGTTCGCTTGAAGCTGTTTGCTGGTTTGTGAGAAGGGTGAGCATCCTTCCGTAAGCTATGTCATGTCGGAAGAGCACAGGAGAGAATAGAAGATGAGCAGAAGGACGAATCCCAAGCGTGTAGATACCTCTAGTATAAGGTATGAATGTTTGAGATCCCTTTCGTGGTCCTGCTGAACATTGCACATAGCTCTATATGTACTCACTTCCTTATCTTCGAGCGTTTCCATCACGCTCAATTTCAACCTACCTTCCTTACCTTCCTCCAGTGCTGGCCACTCCCTTAATTTTGTGATACCGTCGTAGGCCACAGCAGCGCAGCCATCTTGCACAGTTGCTCAAAACATTGAATGATACAACAATCCGCCTTCGTCCTGCTGGCAGAAGCCTCTTCACCACCGCAACAGCCCACGGAAACATCACCTCCCCACCCGCCCGTCTCCCAGGTCCAGCGATGGCTCGCGCCTGCGGCCAACAAGCCGTCAACGCCATCCTCGCTGACGGCACGATGCCCATCGAATCGGTTCCCTTTTCTTCGTCCACCTCTTGTAAGCCACAACATAAACCGCCCCCTTAAGCCCACAACTTACCTCCCTCCTCGTCATGTTCCTACCTCTAGGTACTTACACTGGACCTCAAAGGCAGCCCCCTTCCTCTGCCGCGGCGCCCTCTTCACCGACAACCCTTCCCTCCTGCAGTGCTTCACGCCGGATCAAAAGATCCCCTTTGAAGCCTCATCCCCATCCCGCACGAGGGGCATTGTAACGTGTCTATCCAGTCGTCAACACGGCTACTAACTCTATTTTGGGCCAGCGGTTGTTGGTGTGCGATTCGTACGCGGATGAAAGGCTGTCGAGGTTGCAAGCGAATAATACTGCCTTTAGCGTGACTCTGCCGAAAGATGGGGAAGTGTTGAGGGAGTGTAGGACGCCGGGGGGTTGTGTTTTGCAGTGGTTTTGGTTTGGGGAGGGGGCAGGGCAGACGTATGAGAGTTGTGTTTATTTTGTTGTTGGGTGATGGGAGGGCATAATGGAGGGGTGAAGGGTGAGGCATGTGATGACTGTGAGTAAGCGTCATCACGGGAGCTGTGGTATGAACGGAATGAAGATCAGCGAGAAACTCAAGTCCGGGACTAGGTGCTGGAACGGGTCGAGTTGAAGTTATCGCCGTGGGATGGGAATTGTTCTGTCGTCTGTCCTTTTGGAGTCGTCTTGGTATTATCGAGGTGAAAGGGAACGCGCAGCTTTGAGACTGGAACAAGGTACAGTCAGTTATGGAACATCTTGAATGGGAATCCTCACATCAATCTCTGCATACGATACACATCGAATACTCATCTTCAAAGAAGCTGCCTCTTTTGGTGATCACGATCACTAACCACGTACTCCATGGTGTGGCCTTTCACGCCGTCCTGTTGTCCGAACTCGGCCGTGAATCGGAAAGGCCAAAAGGGTGACCGTTGTCATATTGTATCCGAAGAAGGTCTCCAAAGGACAAGCCGGGCATTGTCGGTGTTCGAGTGTCCGGGTCCGGGTCCGTGGAGCTCGGTCGGCTTTGAGATTATAGTAATATTTCTTTACGTCTGCTTATCGGATCTCCATGATGATGTCGCCATGCAGGCATCTCCAGACTCCATGGGGATGGACCCAGATCGTCGTGGAGTGGACGAGTCTTCCATGAGGGGATCCATCTTCCACGCGGTTGGAAGTAGCTAATCCGGATTCGGCTGGCTCTGAGTGTTCCTTGCAGCGGATGGAGGCTAAACTCCGAATTGGGGAACTTTTCGACATCGGTTGCAGCATCGTCGCCGTCGTCGGACCGTGGGTTGGCGAAGTTGTCCACAGATAAGATCATCTTGGCGCCACTATCCGCGTCTGATAAAACATATCTTTTAGTGATCCTGGACTTTCATGTGAGTCCTAGCAGTTCAGTTGAGGAGTGGCACGTTCTGGCAACGCTTGACGGTTTGCTGCTCCCTTGACGGATGAACAATGGGAGGCTCTAGAGTTCCATAGCATGACTTTACGTACCTGTAGCACAATCCGAACCATCTCCTGCTATGCACACAATTTCCATGACTGGCAAAGAAGTCCGCATTACCACACTCGTTCGGAGTGTCCATGGTGTCACCTTCACGGAATGCGGGGCTCGGACGGATGCGCAGGTGGTGCACTAACAACGCCGGCTGTCTTGGCCCCCTCGGAATCTCGGAGTACACCCCTCTGGTTGGTGCTTTCCTAACCTTCAACATTAATGTCCGTCATCGGCGACGTCGTGATTGGCAGAGAGCAGCTTTTGAGGTAGCATTCTTTGTCAATCCATTGACTTGCATGCAACGATTGCCCCTCTCTGCTGATAGGGCTTATCGTGACTTACACCAACGACTGTTAGTTGCTGTTTTGATAAGTGACCATTATTCTTAACTCAATTGCTAACAGAGTGCGGCTAGTCGAATTAGTGCTGCGGTACCCAGAATTCCGATATTCACACCCACTTACCTAGACCAACCTTATCGCCTATGGCCATGGGAAGCAATTGACAAATGATAAGATGCTTTGGACTTATCGACTTCGAGATGTGTATCACCCACACGATCTGGGACGAGCTGAAGAAGATGAGGGGCAAATCGGCAAAGCAGAAGAGTACAAGTATATCTCCCCTCCCGAAGAACACATGAAATGATCCTATTCCCGTTCATCACCGACACTCTCATACATACCAACTGAGATCTTCATTTCTCCTCAGCATACACATCCTACTTCCCTCCGATCTTCACTACTTAACATTCTTCTCGTGACAGTCAGCTCTGAGCAATATCCATCAAGATGGGCTCTGTCGGCACCACTCTCCCCCACCCCTTCGACCCCCTCTCGCGGGAGGAAATCGAAAACACCATTTTCACAGTCAAGAAGGCCCACGGCGATGTCTACTTCAACGTCGTCTCCCTCCAGGAGCCTCGCAAGGCTGAGATGACAGCATGGCTCGAGGACCCCATCAACGCTCCCCGACCAAAGCGCCTTGCGGACGTCGTTGTCATTGCACCTGGTGGCAAGGTGTACGATGGACTAGTAAATCCGGCCAAGGGCGAGATCCTTTCGTGGGAATGGGCTGAAGGCCAGCAACCTATTGTAAGTGTTCCTTGTCTCCAACTTTGGATATCACATATGGCCAACGTCAAGGGATTAGATCACCATGGAAGAGCTCCAGATTGTCGAACACATCGTCCGTAAGGACCCCAAGGTCATCGAGCAGTGCAAGATAAGCGGCATTCCCGAAGAGGACATGGACAAGGTGTACTGCGACCCTTGGACAATCGGCTACGACGAGCGTTTCGGCAGCTCAGTACGGTTGCAGCAGGCGCTCATGTACTACCGCCCCGAGCTCGACAACTGCCAGTACCAGTATCCTCTCGACTTCTGCCCCATTTATGATGCCGACAAGCAGGAAATTATTGCCATCGATATTCCCAAGATCCGCCGGCCGCTCAGCAAGGCTCCCGCGTTCGACTATCACCCGGCTGCCATCGAGGCGAGGGGCGGTTTCCGCAACAACCTGAAGCCCATCAACATCACCCAGCCTGAAGGTGTCTCGTTCAAGCTGAACGGCAGGGAGATTGAGTGGCAGAATTGGAAGTTCCATATCGGTTTTAACTACCGCGAAGGTATTATTCTCAACAACATCACCTTCAACGACCAGGGAAATGTCAGGCCGATTTTCTACAGACTTTCTCTGGCTGAGATGGTGGTCCCTTAGTAAGTGATATCGATCCAAACAGAAACAGGATTCAGACATGGGATCTATTTGATACTAACCGGACACAAACAGCGGAAACCCCGAACACCCTCACCAGCGCAAGCACGCTCTCGACCAAGGCGAGTACGGCGCCGGCTACATGGCCAACAGCCTGTCTCTCGGCTGCGACTGCAAGGGTTCCATCCACTACCTCGACGCCGAGTTCCCCACCCGCGTGGGCGGCGTCCGCAACATCAAGAACGCCATCTGCATCCACGAGGAGGACGCCGGCATCCTCTTCAAGCACACCGACTTCCGCGACGACTCCGTCATCGTGACGCGGGGCCGCAAGCTCATCGTGCAGCAGATCTTCACGGCCGCCAACTACGAGTACGTGGTGGCCTGGACCTTCCACCAGGACGGCACCATCCAGCCCGAGATCAAGCTGACGGGCATCCTCAACACGTACGCCATGGACCCGGACGAGGACACGCACGGCTGGGGCACGCAGGTCTATACCGGGGTAAACGCGCACAACCACCAGCACTTATTCTGCTTGCGCATCGACGCCAACGTCGACGGGCCCCAAAACACCGTGTACGTGACCGACGCTGTCCCGGGTGAGGCCCCCGTCGGCAGCAAGGAGAACTTTTATGGTAATGCCTTCTACAACAAGCGCACCAAGCTCGCCACCACGGGCGAGGCCAAGACCGACTACATCGCCCAGACCTCGCGCACCTGGGAGATCTGCAACCCCAGCAAGCTGAACCCGTACAGCAAGAAGCCGGTGAGCTACAAGCTCGTCAGCCGCGAGGTGCCGCCCTTGCTGCCCAAGGAGGGCTCGTTGGTCTGGAAGCGTGCTGCTTTTGCTAGACATACGGTCCATGTTACCAAGTGTAAGCTTTCTTTCTCTCCCTTTCCTCTCTCCTCTCCCCCCTTCCCCACTTCTCTTGATCGTAGCCAACTAACCAAAACCCCCCCTGGCGAACAGACCGTGACGACCAACTCTGGCCCGCCGGCCGGCACGTCCCCCAAACCTCAGGCGAGCCCTCGCGCGGTCTTCCGGAGTGGATCGGCGACGGCACCGAGTCCATCGACAACACCAACATCGTTGTTTGGCATACTTTCGGTGTCACCCACTTCCCCGCGCCCGAGGACTTCCCCGTCATGCCGGCCGAGCCCATGACCCTGCTGCTCCGCCCCCGCAACTTCTTTGCCCGGAACCCGGTGCTGGATGTGCCCCCCAGCTATGCGAGCACCCCGAGTCAGCTGCTGGCCAAGGGCGCGGGTGTGTATGATGCGGCGGATAAGTTGAGTAAGTTGGCTTTTGAGGTGCCCGCGGGAGTGGATGGTGAGGGGGTGAGTGGTGCGGGTAATGGTGCTGGTGGTTCTTCATGCTGTAAGAGTGGTGGTTGCCAGTGAGTGGTAACGCGTTGCGACTGGGTGGAGGCTTGAGATGGTTGGAATGGCTTGGATTTCTGTACAATTGGCGTTCTTGGGGTGGTCGATTTTGGTGATTTTTCTTCTTGTACATTGTTCTTTTCCGTCGTGTAAAACATCGAGTTAGCTTGTTTCTCATAACCTCCTGTCGTGCAGTCCCGAACTGCTGCTGAATAGATGGGACTCTTGCCCAAAGATGGGATTCGTATGAAATCAGTAACTCCTTGACATATTGTACAGCGTGATATTCTCCTTCCATGTCCGCCATGCTTTTCCCAGCATGATATCTTTTCCCAGAACCAGCAATGCCAAGCCATGAAGGTATCGTTCAGTCCTTTACTCTAACACCGGCCGTGAAGACACTCAGACGTCTACAGCTCAAAATAGGGCGGTGCCTCTCGTGGATGGATGTCCAACATCGCCCACTGTCCGTTCAACCATCTACCTCTCTGTGAACACTCCCTTCCTGGGTTCGTCAAGAAAGTAAGAGGCCAACCCGATCCAAGCTTCCGACTCCTCCTTTCTCATCCGTTATCCCAAGCTGCTTACTTTTTAACAGCCTGGTAAGGATACCAAGGATCCGCATCCTTGCGGCACCACACCTGCCGGCGCTTCTTGTTGACCACATGCTCGACCCAGATCTCATGCGCATACTTCTTCTTGAACTCGCGAATGAAGCGAGGATCCCACAACTCTGACGCAATACCCAGGTCCTTGCAGCATCTTAGCAGAGCATTGGACTTGCAACCCTCTCCGGCCGTGGGAATTGTCTCCTCCGAGAAGTACTGGCATTCTCCGCGGGCTTGGGCAACGAAGCTTTTTAGGGATTTGTTAGCATAAACTGCCTTCTCAAAAAATGAAGCCTGGTTCAAGCAGTTAAAACTCACCGACCACCAACGATCAAAGCATACTCCCTCGTCACCACCTTCTCCCCCACCACCAACTCCCCCCTCGGCGCCAACCCCCAACCGCCCGGCCCAAACGCCTGGTTCAAAATCCTCCGGTACTTGATCTCCGGCAGGTAGATAATTCCATCGGGCTTAACCTCCACATCCAGCGGGTCTAGCGGCTGCATCAAAATCTTGGCCACCTCCGGGCTGAACGCCTCCGTCGACAAGCCATGGTAGGACGAAGACCAGTCGATCGTCTGCTGGGCCGCGCCACCATTTCCGTTGTCGTTGGCACCGTTGCCGTTGCCTGTCAAAGCGGCAGTGAAGGCGCGCGAGGGGCCGTTGCTCTTCTTGCCGGCACCATTGCTGGGAGTAGGTATTTGCGCCGCGAGCTCGGGGTCGACGTCTTCGATGGTGGCGCCGGGGACTTGAGCCGCTTGCGGGTCGAGGACGACGGGGATGGGCGTTTCTTCGATGTCGATGGCGGCGGAAGCTTGCTGTTGCTGTTGCGCAGCAGAAGGGGCGTAGGGCTTTGCGGAGGGGGTGTTGATAGAGGGCTTGTTGGCGCCGGCAGACGAAGAAGAAGAAGAAGAAGCGGACGAGGTCATGGGTTTCCTGCCGGTAGAAGAGGGAGTGTACTGCTTGGGCGTGTATGTGCTGGTTGCGGATTTGGGTCTGGAAGTTGTAATGGGTCGCGACTGGAAGGCGACGAGGGTCTGGATGGTGGAAGAGGGCGAGCGCAGAGGCCGGCAGGCAGCCTGGAGAGCTTGGGAGCGCATTTCTGGCGGTTGTGGTTGTTGTTTGGCGCAAGTGTTGCGAAGACAAGACAAGCGAGGTAGATATGTTATGTAAAAGGTTGATTCGAGGACGAGGTGGTGGATGAGCGGCAGTTGTTCCGTTACCTTGGAGTTTTTTTTGGTTGTTGAACGGTGGTTTGTTCCGAGGAAGGGAAGGAATGGGATTGTAAACAAACTGAATGCGACTTGCAGAAAAAGAGTGGACTGGACTGCGGGGCGTAAAAGCAGGCACGACGTAAGGACGACCCATGCAGCAAGTCTTGGCACTGAGGAGAGAGGAAGCGGAGATTTCCACCAAGTCAAAGTCCAGTCGGCTTCTGTTCCCGAGGGAGCTTGGGCCAGTTGAGTTAAATGTTAGTGCAGTGATATTCGATCGTTCTCACCACTGCTTCCAGAGTCCACATTACAATGGGACTATAATTTGTTGATGGGATATTTTCGGTCTCTGTATTTACTTCGGCAACTATGGGATTACCTGGTGCATACAAGTTGGGGTTGCTTATGCATCCTTGGTGTCCGTACGCTTATCGTTGCCCTGGAGCTTCCAGCACTGCCTGAATCTCTCCATCTGTTGTGCCCGGAATCCATGTGTTAGCAATGAATGGTGCCTTGAACACTTTCAAGAGGTAAGATTTTCACTTGCTTCGTTCTTGCACAGCCTCCAATCCTTCTTCTCATAGTAACAGTCGGTCAACTTGGCATTCTCGTCTGTGTGAGAAGGACAAGTTAGAGCACGGTGAACTTCAATCCCAGAAACAACTTCGTTGTTGTAACAGGAGGTCTTACCGGCGCACCCAGTGCTGAAGATCCGCTTGTCCCTGCAACGTGGAAGTCAATGTCAGCTTACCACACAATATTGAAGGAACGGTCCGGACCTGCAGAGGAACGGAACTCAAAAAGGAGCCGGATAGGAAGGGGAAGGAACAACTGAGGGATGAGTGTCTGCAGGTCCGTGGTGCCTTCCGTCCGGACTCCGCGGCCATTGCTCCGAGTCGTTATTTTGTTGAGTGTTGGGGGACTGGAGGGGAACCGGCAGAAACCAGCTCACACATAAATCTCTTACCATTCATCCGGCTCGTCATCTTGCTGACTGGCAGCAGCAGCAGCAGCACTCGCAGACGGTCTTTGCTCGGGCACCTTGTCGTTGCTGGCCATTTTCAATCGCTTTTCCCTTCTCCTTCGTTTTCGTTTTGTCGGGTTGGCGCAGTATTGGCTGTTCCTGTGTCTTCGCTGGTGTGAGTAGGTCGTGTTCAGATTGTGAGCTGAAGGCATGGTGACAGTGCAGGAAAAGGGCGCAAGTGGCCCTGAAAACAACCCACTAACAGCACAACAGGAACCCCAATAACCCACAACTGTATCCCCTACGGACCCTGAAATCTTCCTCCCTCAACCATCACAACAGAACAGCGTCAAGCAAGCAACTATATCACACCATCTTCGACATAAGACGCACGACAAAGTCAAGGACTCGGTTTTCTTTTGTCTTTACGGCAACCATGGCCACCGCTCCAAAGACTGACCAACGGGTACTCAATGTCCTGGTCTATGCAGGTGAAGTCGCCCGTCTTCTGAGCTGTACCTGAGATGAGATTCCATGACTCATTTGACTAACGTCTTATACAGGAGCGGGAGTAACACCCGAATCATCCCGCCAGTGCACCGAGTCCCTGAAGTGTCTGGTCGGATCCAATTATGCTGTTTCTCAGATCACAGCACACACCTTAATCACCGAGCCCTGGCCGTCAACTTGTTCTCTGTTGGTGTTCCCTGGTGGCGCCGACCTCCCCTTCTGTCGCGACCTCAACGGCCCCGGCAACCGCGTCATTATCGACTACGTCCGCAAGGGAGGAGCTTACTTGGGCTTCTGTGCCGGGGGCTACTATGGCAGCGCCGAATGTTGCTTTGAGCTTGACGACCCAAAATATGATGTCAAGGGCCCGAGAGAGCTGGCTTTCTTCCCAGGCACCTGCGGTGGTCCTGCCTTTAAGGGATTTCACTACCACCGTGAAGTTGGCGCGAGGGCTGCCAAGATCTCAGTGAGAAAAGAAGCATTCTCCGGTGCCCAAGCGCCTCCTGATGTCTTCAAATCCTACTACAATGGAGGCGGAGTCTTTATCGACGCCGATGAAATGGAATCGAACGGGGTCGAAATCCTTGCCGATTACGCAGAAGATATCGATTTCCCGTCTGGTAAGACACAGGCCGCTGTGGTATTCTGCAAGGTTGGCCAGGGCAGGGCCATACTCACAGGACCACACCCAGAGTAAGCCGCAGACTTTGAGCCACCTCGGAAGTTTTCTGCTAACACAAGCTCAGATTCTCCGGCGCGTCTTTGAAGCCGCACGCTAGTATCCCAGGTTATGACAAGCTCATAGAGGAGGTGACCGTGGACGAAAGTGCACGACTGGAATTCCTGGCGGCATGCCTCAGCAAGCTGGGGTTGTCACTCCCTTCCAAGGAAGCATGGTCTGATATTCCCCGACCAACAACGATGTGGAACATCTATTGCCAAAGGGGCCACTTTTTATCCCTTGTAAACCGCCTCTCGGGGCAAAGTCATGCGGTCCGAACTGATGGGAGCATCTGGCTTGAGAATAAGTTTGGACTGGATATGTTCCATCTCGAGTGGACTACTGACGGGTCATGGTCAACGAACTACGACCCACCAAAGTTTGACAAACCTACTTACCGAATCAATGTTGGCTCCAAGGTAGCAGGCCAGGGGGTGGACGAGTCAGGAACACACTTTGACTACGACATCTTCTTCGCCAGCCTGGATGAATTTAGAACGCTTGAATCAAGGCGTGCGGTCAGCACATGGAAGCAAGCTTTGAGGAATTATGACCCATGGTTTCCGAAGCTGAGCTGGGGCAACCACTTGATGTATGGGGAAACTATCACGAGTACCAATACTTTGCTCTCAAGGTAAGAGAAGGCACACTTCTGCACACATGACCAGACACTGATCTCGTGCTCCAGCAACCCCCACCTTGTTTCCAGACTAGAGTCCGGCTTCACCTTTACCGCCACTCGCCAGGTGGCGGGCCGTGGCCGGGGCACCAACGTCTGGGTCTCTCCTCCCGGCTGCTTGATAATGTCAACGGTCATCAACCACGCAGCGAGCGTCATGCCCACACGCCCGTTAGCCTTCGTCAATTACCTGGCGGCGATTGCTATTGTCGAGGCGATCAAGGGGTACGATCACGCGAATGATGTTTACCAAAAGTTGGACGTCAAGATCAAGTGGCCCAATGACATATACGTGCGGGATCCCAGCAAGCCCAACGAGCCAGCCTACGTTAAAGTTGGCGGCATCCTCGCCCACTGTTCCTACAATGCTCCGAATTACCAGATTATCCTCGGCATTGGCATCAACACGAACAACGCGCAACCTACGACTAGTCTCGATGCACTTCTCAACTGGACTGCTAGCTTACTAGGAGGAAGTGATAAGACATCTCCACCGCCATTCCAGATAGAGCGCCTGATGGCCAGGATTCTCACCTGCCTTGAGATTCTCTACGACCACTTCCTGCGGAAGGGGTTCTCGGACGAGCTAGAAGCCTTGTACTACAAACACTGGCTGCACACCAAGCAGATCGTCACCCTCGAAGATGAAGACGGCGTCAAGGCCCGTGTGCTGGGCATCACCAAGGACCAAGGCCTCCTGGTAGCCGAGGAGGTCATGGAGGACGGCATCGAACTGAACTCATGGAAGGGAACGGGCACCCTGTTCCAGTTGCAGAGCGACGAGAACGGGTTCGACTACTGGAAGGGACTGATCAAGAGGAAGGTCTAGAAGAAAGTCACTGACATTCCTATTTCGATTTCGATTCCCGTGACTTCGCCAGGTGGAACCAACCGTATTCCGCACCCCGGATACTGGCGGGAAGGGTGAGCCTACCTGAACTTCTTGCTACCCTGCTGCAGTCAGCGCAAAGTTCGGCTGGGGGATCATTGTCAGTCGATAAAACAAGTTGCAAGTCTATCTCTGGGGTTATCATTGCTTCCTTTTCATTCTCTTTAGATTTGAGTTTGCTTTAGATGGAGAATTCCTTTCGAAGAACAGCGGAAATCCTGTATACTACTTTTGGTACATGAGCGGGACTATTTGACTACCTAGCGGCGGTGTTAGAGACATATAGTCTGGGTAGCCTGGATACTGTCATGAACAAATACAATAGAGCTCAGCCGTCTCAAGGCGTGACATAGGCACAGAGTCAACTATAGAGATACCTGGTTTATCTCAAGTAATTCCATGCGAGCGTTACCAGTCACTTTCACCCTCTCTCTCTTCCCATCAAAACAACCTAAGTCATACGCATTGCCACTGCTACCCGCCGGACAGAGGCGAACTGACACCAGTATTAGTTCATTTTGATATCTCACCTCAGACAAATCATATACACATTTCCTTCCATGACTACCACAAGCGTGCACAAAGAGTCACATCAAGTACGTCACCCATGTTTTTGTTTGTACAGAAGTGATAGAATTACACGTGGCAGGGTCCAAAATCGCCCTCCCCCTTTCTCTCTCGCTATGAATATGCAGAAACGACAACCACCATCCATCCATCAGTACATCCATGCGGCAACCACGCTATCCTTTGTCTTTTGCCGAATCCTGTATATACCTTACCCTTCCTAACCGCGAACGCCAGGCCTGCCGAAGTCGAGTGAAGAGTTTTCGTTTTTATATGTCTGTGTGTTGTTTTTGTACAAGGTCGGGGTGAGGAAGCGGCCGGTGGGTAGGTGATGTTGACTGTGGTCGGTCGTACACGTGGACTGTGATGGTAGGTAGGCATAACGAAAGCGATGGCATCCTCCTTTATGCCTTGACCGCCAAGCGCCAATTCAAACGAACGGGTATCAAGGCGGCAGTGGCCCTGACGGAGGAGGATGATGGGAGGAAGTACAAACAATTGTTATCGTTTGCTGGTCGTTTCGCTCTTTGTGTCGCCAAGTCGTATCATCGTATAGAGTGGGGGGGAACGCAACAATCGATTTGGCCACAGGAACAGCCACAGCTTCCATCCCTTCCATCAACTTCCGCCGTGTGTGTGTATGCGCGTGCCGACCATGCCCAGCTTCCCCAACCCCAACATCACCAAGCCGCCGCCGCCGCCGCTACCACCACCACCACCGCCACCACCGCCGCCGCCGTCCTTCCCGGAAAGATCTCTCATCTCTCCGTTCTCAAGACGTGTCTGTCAGTCATGGCCGTGTGACGATCACCGGTCCTTGTAAATCTTGGGGTTCCACCCTTCCTTGACCTCCTCCTCGGCCTGCTTCTCCTCCATCTTGGGCCTGATCTCGGCCTCGAGGCGCTCGCGCGCCCGCACGATCTTGCTCTGCAGGTAGAAGGAGCCGCCCTTCTCCGGGTCGTTGGCGTCGAAAAGGCGCTTGAACCGCTCCATCACCTCCTCCATGTTGGCCGCCGCACCGTCCGCCGGCTTGTTGACATTCAAAATCTTGCAAGCCTCGTCGAGCGTCATGCCGCTGGTCAGGCTGGCGCGTCCTGTGGTGGAGTTACCGTTCTTTTGCTGCGCGCGCTGGTACTGCGAGGAGGCGGCCGCTTGCTTGTAGGCCTCGGCGAAGGCGCGGCCGAGCACGCGCGAGCCGACGACGACTACTTGGGTGATGAGACGGTAGGCCTAGAAGCGGTTGGGAAGAGGGTTGTGTTAGTTGGGTTGTGGTTTACTGAGTATGTGAGGCAGTCAAGTCCGGGAACTCGGGAACAGGCGGTTGCGCATAGTGACCAACCAAGCAAGTAGGCCATGCGGCGCAACTTTGTTTAACTTGAACAAGAAAATAATATCATACCATTGTGACTATATGAAGGAGAGGAGCTGGCCGCCGAAGTGGCTAGCAATGGACCGGGTTCGGTTGTTTGGGGCAGATGGGTGTCTGCGTTGCGGATGCAGAGGTACTTTGGGGGAGTTGTCGGATGCCGTAACACGGATGGAGATGGAGATCAATCGATGGATAACGAACCGTCCAGGCCGATAACTGGAACGACGGCGCCGCCAAACTTCAAAAAATTGAGCCGACAAAAGATTGGCCGGACCGCCGATTGCCGGAAATTCTTCGGCAGAGTCTTGGCATCCTTCCGGCAGTCCGTTAAGATAGCAGAGGTACGTACCTGTTGCCTGCCCGGCCATGTACTGACCTGTCGTCAATGACATGCTGCACTGCACGCTGCGGGTGTGACGACGGGACTGACGACGCCTGAGGCACCAACCCACCACAGCCTCCACTCACAGGGGCCTGGACCACTGAACCACATCGCTTGAACGCTGCAGGAAACACTGAAGCACAAGTGGCCCGAGCAGCTGGCCGCCATGGAACCGTTTCAAGAGGGAAGCTTCCACCACGACTTGACACGAATTGACATCTGAAAGGAAGCAACTCTTCGACTTGGCCGTGGACTTCTGCTGTCACCACGCTCGTTGATTCCCGACGTTCCTCACCGAATCGAATTCCAACCATCAATCTCCGACGCCGCTCTCACCCACGAACGCGCATTAGCAACGGCGCTCAAGTGCAGCTATTGACAGCTTGCGCCTACGTCAGCTACCCGGTAGCATCAGCCCCTGGGACTCCCAAATCCCCCCCCCCCCTGTTGACGATCGGGGAACGACAACGACAACTCTACAACCACCACCATACTCCCTCACACCCGAGCGGACCACATCATCATCACCACACCAACCATGTCGCAATACTACGGCGCACCGCCAAACCAGGGCTACGCCCCTTCCAACGCCCAGAACCTCCAGTTCTACCCCTCCTCATACACACAGCCCGTGTCCGGCCACGCGACACCCTCACAAGCAGCATACGGCTACGGCGGGCCCTCGTCGTCTGGCGGCTATGGCGTAGGAACCGGCGGCTTCTCCTCGGGCTTCGGCAGTGGCAGCGCGGCCGGCGGCGTTTCGGGTCGCATGGGCGAGCAGGGAGGACTGAGGACCGGATGGCTGGCGGCCTTTTCGACGGAAGGGTACGAGGGCGAGCCTCCTCTGCTGGAGGAGCTGGGTGTTAACTTTGGACATATTCGGTCAAAGGCAAGTTTTTGATTACCTTTTCTTCCTCGCTCTCAAGCTCTCTAGAAGGACCGCCAAACTAACACACAAAAACAGACCCTAGCAGTCCTCAACCCCTTCGGCCGCATCGACCAACACCTAATGGACGACTCCGACATGGCCGGCCCCGTCCTCTTCTTCTTCCTCATGGGCACCTTCCTCCTCCTGTCCGGCCGCGTCCACTTCGGCTACATCTACGGCCTCGCCCTCTTCGGTTCCATCAGCTTGCACGTCATCCTCTCGCTAATGGCCCCAACCTCCACTGTCCCCCCCTCTTCCGGCGGTCCCAATGTCCCCGGCGCCCCAGCGCAAGCCTACTCCTCCTACCCGGGCCCCTCCGCAACCTCCGTTTCCTCCTCCTCCATGTCCGCCGCCGACCACGACCACAACACCGGTCCCTCCACTCTAACCTTCGCCCGCTCCGCTTCGGTGTTGGGGTACTGCCTCCTGCCCCTAGTGGCCACCAGTCTTGTCGGGATCGTGATGCCGATGGATACTCCCCTGGGAATCGTGCTGACGAGCGCGGCCATCTTGTGGTCGACGTACTCGGCTAGCGGCATCTTTTGCGCCGTGTCGAGGATGCGCAGCATGCGGGCGCTGGTGGCGTACCCGCTTGCGCTGTTTTATGTGGGGTTTGGCATCATGAGCGTGTTTAGCAGCAAGGGGAGCGGGTCGTTTGCCAAGGTTGCGGCGGCTTCTGCGTTGTGATGAGTGAGACTGGGGGTGTGACAAAAAGTGGTAATGAAATGGGGGTTAATGGGATAGGAAGGGAGGCAGATGTTGGGTACCTAGAGCAATTATGGGGTTATGTATGCTTGGGTTGGGTTGGGTTGGGTCGGTTGGCTGGCTGAGTGGTATATGGTGTACTTACTACTGGGTATCAGATAGAGATGCAAAATAAAAGCCGACCATTGACAGCATAAACGATCTCCTTTCGGTCTTTTTTGTGGCATGGGTTCATGCGCTGGACAGGATGGACGGTATGAACGATTGGCACTCATGAAGCGGTTGAGCTGACTCTGGTAGAATCACGTAGTAGTATGGAAGGACTAAAGGCTTGCATGTTGTGTTCGCTAAAGCTATGACAGGAAAGCAATGTTGTCGTGTAAAACGCATACAGGAAACCGGAAACTAAACGTAATGCAAAAGGGTTTGTTTGATCATCATAATATCTATTAGATCCTAGATAGATCCTAGATCCATTCCATTCCATTCATCCATTGCAATAAAGCTCTCGAAACTCCCCTCTGTCATGATGAGTGTGGTTGTAGCACTAAGAAAACAACAGCGCAAAAGGCTGTGCTAACAACAGGCCATACGGAAAAACTGTAACACGCAAAAAAAAACAACAGAAAAAAAAAAGGAAAAAAAAAAACATCAGCCAACCGAGCGCCCCTTAGGCCCTAGCCTTCCCTCCCTCCCTCCCTCCCGGAACGCCCCTGAGCAGTTTATAATAGCAACACCAACACACACACTCTCATCCTCTACCAAGTTGACAAAGAGCATAACCAGCAACGACCAACAAATAATGCTCATGCCGCTCCGCTTGCTTGCTTGCTTTTTTGAGTTCCGACCCGACCAGAAGACCTTACTTAATCCAAAGCCAGTGAAACCGAACATTTGCCAAACCTGAACAAATTTTTTCTTGCTCATGAACCGTTGTTGCTCATCGAAGCAAATGTCCTTTCCCTCACTTCCAAGAGCCCTGCCCTGTCTTTCTTTGTTTTGTGTGTCTCCTTACACTTCCAAGTCGTTTCTTTTAACGTCTGTCCTCATCGATCGATCTCTCCTTAATTTATTCCTTGGGCTCAGCGCCAAGAATAGAGTACTGGCCACCGGCACCAGCAAAGATGATCTTGCGATCGCGGATCGCCGAGTTGTCGATGAGCGTGGGCGTCTCGATATCGTCCGTCGTGCCCTGGCCGGTCTGGTAGTTGGCCGAGAAGCCCCACGAGTAGACCTTGCCGTCCTCGGTGATGGCGAAGCTGTGATCGGTGCCAGCGGCAACATGGACGATCTTGCCCTCGATGTCGGGAACAACGGCGGGCTGGACCAGGATTCTGGGCTTGTCCTTCTCGTCGAAGATGGTGTTCTCCTCGGTGAAGGAACCCGAGGGGTGGCCGACCTGGTGCCCATCGATGCGGCCCCACGTCAGCAGCTCGCCCTTGTCGTTGGTCGCGAGCGAGTGGTGCTCGCCGCCGGCGATGTCGACGATCTTGTGCTCCTTGAGCGAGTCGACCAGCTGCGGCTTGAGGATGAAGCCGCCGTCGGTGCCGGCCTCGGCCTCGATGCCCAGCTCCGCGTAGTTGTTGAGGCCCCAGCCGATCACCCGGCCCTTGGTGTCGATGATGAAGCAGTGGTACGAGCCGCAGGCGAGCTTGGCGGCCTTAGCGCGTCCGGGAAGCGTGCCGATGCTGGCGGGGAAGAGGGCGCCGTTGTCGTCGCGCTCGAGGAGGCGGCGCGCAAGCTGGGCTTGCTGGCCGGCGCCCCAGGCGAAGACCTTGTTCTTCTCGTCGAGGGCGAGAACGTGGTTGGAGCCGACGGCAAGCTGCTTGATCTTGCTGAGTTGGGTGATGAGGGCAGGCGTCTTCTGGATCAAGGTGTTTTTGGTGAAGCCGAGAATGCCTTCGTTTGACTGTATAGCTCAGTTAGCATCGGTGAACAGAATTTGAACTGGCGCGGGACAAAATGAAACTTACCCTGAAAGTGCCCCATCCGTAAACATGACCGGTAGCAGTCAAGGCAAAGGTGGCGCTGTCGCTGGCGACAACCTGGACCCAGACGGTACCCTCGGGAACGTCCGTTGTGTCAATCTCGCCGGGCGTGCTCTCCTTGGGGTTGAGGCCGGTATCATCCTCGTCCTCAGAGTCAGAATCGGCATCAGCGTCGCGCAGACCACCGTCCCAGGTCGTGTCGCGGCCGAGAGCGCCCTGGTCGTTGACGCCCCACGTGAGGATCTTGTTGTCCTTGGTGAGCGCAGCGACGTGCATGCCGCCGCAGGCGACCTGAACGACGCCGCTGAGGTTGTGGTTGATACGGGGGCGCTTGACGTCAATGGGCTTCTTTCCATCGTACTTCATGCTGCCGAGACCAAGCTCTCCAGAGGTACCCTCGCCAAAGACAAAGATGTCCATCACCTTGGTGGGCGCCTCGTTGATCACCTTGCCCAAAGGCTTCTGCTTGGGTTCGGGCTTGGGCTTCGGGGCGGCCTTGGCCTTCTTGGGCGCGGGCTTCGCGGCTTCATCTTCGTCGGTCTTGGTTCTCTTTACGGGGGGGCGAGTGCCGTTGACCTGCTTCTCATCGGCGATCTCCTCTTCCTCCTCATCCTCGTCGCGCTTGCGCTTGCCGCCGCCGACACTGTTTTCCTTATCAGAATCGTCCTTGGTGGCGGCAGCCTTCTTGGCCGCAGCAGTCTTCTTGGGAACAGCAGCCTTCTTGGGGGCAGCGGCCTTCTTGGGAGCAGCAGCCTTCTTGGGAGCAGCGGCCTTCTTGGGAGCAGCGGCCTTCTTGGTGACGGCGGCTTTGGGCGCGGCCTTGGGCTCCTCCTCGTCCTTCTTAGCGACCTTCGCGGTCGTCTTCTTGGTGACAGTAGTAGTGGTCTTCAACTTCTTGGTCGTTGTTTTGGCGGCAGGCGCGTTCTCCTTCGCGCCCTGCGTCGCGGCGGCTCTCTTGGGAGGCATGATGTGAAGTGATTCTGAGACTTTGCTGGTTGGGTTTTTTCGAGGATGGATTCCGAGCTATCGAGGTGCAAGGAGCAGTACTGAGAGCTAGAATGGGGACAATTGGTGATACCGAGGATGTTGCAAGCTGAATTGTTTGCAAAGACGCGTTGTTAATTTTGTGCGATAGCGAAAAGAGGTCGAGGTGCGCAAGAGTGGGTTGATGTTGTGAGGGCTACCCTGTCGCAATTGGGAAAAGGTTGGATTGTTATTGACGGGGGGTGCGCAAATAAACGGAAGTGGAATGGCGGAGACCGGAGAGCAAAGGAATTTGGTGCCGCTTCTTATTGACGGAAGGGGGGTGTGGTGGTCTTTGCGTCGCAAAGAAAAATTGACGCGACTGGACGCTGCGGTCTCCTTTTCAGTTGGCTATTGACGTCGGCCGCGGTGAGAAAAGTGGGTCCGTACCAAACTTCAATGAACAATAGGAGTGAGGCTCTCAATACCATTCACCTCTCACCTTGTCAACCGTCAGCCCAGAGAGCTCGTCAGCTCACTCAATTTGACCTCACCGTCCAACGGCACGCTAGCAGCGAACCGAATGCTCAAATTTTGTTTGGGATTTGGGTTACAATAACGGATCCGTACCGAAACCCCCCCCTGCCGCTACCCGCCAAGTGACGCATTGCAATACAGTAATTTCCCATGATAATGCATGTAATCCGGGACGGCACTTTGTATGCATTTAGAGGGCTCATGCATTTACAGTCCTATGCCAAGACTTTCTAGCCGCCCTAGCATAGGAATCTTGGGGGACTTTGGAGGGTTGGCATCGCTGTCAGGCCCTAAAAAGGGGCGCCAATAAATGCATATGCACCAATTTGGCCGGCAATCTAGTATGCAAATGGCAGTTATGCAAATTCCCATACTAAATAATTGCGGACGGCCAGCTGCAAGCATTTAGAGGGTGTTATGCATTTTCAGGTGCATGCATTATCAGGGGAAATTACTGTAGCAACCAGCAGGATAACAATAAAGAGAGATTCTCTGTGAGACGCGTTCTTTGTCCTATTGATCACCGGCCATGAACTTGCATCAACTCGAATATTCTACACAATAGCACTGCAGGCATTGAGGAGGTCGTCGTCCAATGTTCAGACGAAAAGAAAAGGCATTTTCGCCCGGTCTGCGGTAGTCGCTCAGGTACCCCAGAATGTACCACACACCGCTGTCCCTGTCCGCTTCTGCAGACACGGGGACGGGACTGGCATGACGATGCTTTGGTGATCTGCTGTTCCCCTGAACCGTGTCCGAGACGACCTTTCTGCCGGGCGGTCAGACCCTCCACGCTGTGATTCCTCACTTTGACATGGTTCTTGGCAGCTCGACTTTCTTCAACCGGTGGTTCGAGCTCCATGCGGAATCGCCCGATGCTCACCAGCAGCTTCCTCGTCAGACCTCTGAACAAACGATGATGGACGGAGATTTGACTACCACTGTCAGACATGTCACTTTGTGTTGCGTAGGCCAAAAATTAGACGGTCATGTCTCGTATGAATCTACTTTAAGTCACTAGCATCACTGCTTACTTGTGCAAAGAACATGTGCAATGGCATCTTCCAGGACCCAAAAGCACCTCACAGAGAACCGACAGTTTTCAGAAATATGCATTTACCATTTCCTTTGCTTTCTACCACCGTTTCCACGGCCGCCTTTCCGACGACTTCCGCCGTTGCCGTTGTCAGCTGCTGTCTCCTGCTCTTTCCTGCGCCTTTCCAATTCCTTTTCCTCCTCTTCCCGCTCAAGCTGGGACTTGGTGTCTGCCACGATTCCTTGCAACGTCGGCCCAGGAATCCGCCACTTCTTCCTCTTCTTTTTGGTGTTCCGGCTGAAGAACGACGTTCCTCGCGCAAAGAACCCCCTCAAATCCTCCCATACTGACAACAGCCACAGCTTTGCATCGCATCTGAGCCATTTTGTCCAGTCCCAAAACAGGATTTGGAACTTGGTGAGTCCCCCGGTTGGGGAAGCATGAGAAGAACCTCGGTTCGCAAATGGGTCGTAGTTCACGCAGGCGTATAGGTTGATCCACAAGTCCCCGAGGATGATGAAGGGGGCTTTGGCGACCAGCCACACTATCGCCCTGATGCGGTGACGGATGCTCCAAGTAACAATGGCTTGCCACAGGAGTTGTAGGAAGCCAAGAAGGAGAGAACCCCGGGCGCTCAGGGTCGGGATTCCAAGCCGAAGAAAAGAGCTGGGCGTGCTGAGCAAGGGAATCATACCACCCAGCTCACCATCCGCGACCGGTTCTGCATCGGCTTCTCCTGCAACCGAAGCATGGCCAACCATCGGAGTCGTAATAGCCGCTGTAGTGTAGTGTCCCGAGACATTATCCCGTGTCGTTTGGCCGGTCCAGTATATGTCGTTGTCGCGGCCGGCGACCATTCCGTCCCTTATCCATCCGCTGACAATGCCGGCTCCTCCAAGTCCCACCACGTTCCCTGATATTGTTGGTCCGCTCAATGCCGGTATCGATGGTGCTGTTATCATGGTTTAAAGATAGTTGAAAAGAAGCGAAAAGTTCGTCGAGCTGCCGATCTCTACTGTGTCACCTCAGGAACACAGCGTCCCCAGTAGTGCGCACCCTTGTCAGAGTCTAGTTCTTGGTGGTGAAGTCGGTCTCGAGGTCCGTCGGGTTGAAGCCTCCATCGGCAGCCTTTTCGCAAGTGCATGCGTCTGTTCAAAAGCATGCATGGTTAGTCACAATGTTCCAAGTACATCACGCCATGCCATGTTGTTCTAGAGAAGAGTTGCTTACCGGCAGGACGAGTGCCGCAAGCGCAGGCGTTACCCGCGGGCTTCTGGTTCTCGGTCGAGGCACGATCACAGGTGCACTGTCCGGCAGGGCGAGCACGGCATGAGCAGCGAGGACCCTCGACAGCGTTCTCGGAGTTGGCCTTGTCGCAGGTGCAGTGCAGAGCAGACTGCTTGCCGCAAGAGCAAGTGGCTTGCTTGGCTGAAGTGGTCCGTTAGTTGATTATCCAAAAAATGGAGAAAAGAGCGGTTGGTGTTATGTAAAATGCAAAAGTCAAGAATGGCATCCAAGAACAGGACCCATAAGCTTGGTTGCAGGAACCTGAAGTGGGAGCAGTGGGGAAAGACAAAAAGATAAAAAGGGCCAGCGACGGATACCCGCGGCGTGACCTTTGCCAAAAAGATGGAGCCTTCTCCGTCCAAAAAAGCGAGCGAGAAAAAAGGATTTTGCGTTGGGATCCGCCCGGTAGGGCCAAGATCCCGTCGATGGGGCGGAAGATGGAGTGTGATGGAGCCATTGGAGCGTGATGGAGTCAAGTGGAGATCAGGGGCACAGGGGCCAAGAGCTTCAGGGAGCTTCAAGGAGTGACTTACCACAGACGCACTCAGCGCTCTTGCCGCAGCAAGTGGAGGCCTTCGCAACAGGAGCAGACATGTTTGACTAGAGGTATGTGTTGATGTTTGTTGTTGTGGTGGTTGGAAGTTGTTTTGGGTAGTTTGGCAACGGCGCGGATCGGTATCCGAACTTGTTGTAAGTGGTGCAGAAGAAGGCGGGACTATCCTTGACTCGTAGTATCGAAGTTGGTGAGTAGTGGTGTAAGTTGAGCGTGAGCGTTGTTGAGCTTCTGATTGTTGCTGGATGCTGTTGAGGATCTTGATGATGATGACAAGAGGTGAAAGGCTTCTCTACAGACGGAGGAAGCCAGTCTTATATCTGAAATCGGCTGATGTCACAGACGACATGTCTTGGACTTGCAACACTGTTTGCGACAGGGCTGGCAACAACGATGCTCTGGATGCGACAGTGGGGTTTCGGCTGTGTCAAGGCCCATCGACCACCCAAAACAGCAGTTTGGGGCAGACGAGCCGCACTTCAGGGTCATTCAGATCTTTCTTGCTTCTCATTGGTGGATTTGATAGACGGTGTTGACCAATCAGAAAGCGGGTATTTCTCATCAGATCTCTTGTTTTGGAGCCCCTGATCAGCCCACTCCTCAACCGATGACAAGCTCTCACAACCGCCTCGACACCATTGGCTCCAGACGCCATGATGATGACCATGATGACTATTGGTTTCTTCTGTTGGTGCTTGATGCTGTTCCCGAATATCCAACTTCTATCAGAGGCAGGCCCAGAAGGTTCGAGACGTTGGTAAACGGCATGGTTGTGGAACGACATTGGTCATCCAGCTCCGTTTGACTGCAGTTATGCCATGCGTGTCGTTTTCCACCACCAACCCACTTCAGCTACTTTCACACCCGCATGGCTGGTCATCATGAAAACCGAGTTCACTGGTCCAGCAGTAGGGGACGACTACCTCATGCTTTCCTGCCCGGGCTAATTACACGTTCAAGCATATGCGCCCTGGTCAAACACGGCTTGAACAAATGCTTGCTAGGGAGCTACGGATGGTCTTTGACAAGGCCGCCTACTGATGAAATGAAGGACAAGCTATGGCAAGGGCCCGTCAGACAATGCTGATGGACATCTTGCCCAAACAGCAAGCAGCCGATGTCTTTAGCTCTTTGAAAACAAGTAGACCTCGACGGTCTGAGCCTCGTCATTCAGAACAGGGAGCGGCAGCTTGACTTCCTCCTGTATCGACCATCCATCTTTCGACATAAGGTCAAAGAACTCCCTCTCGTCAGAGTGCCTTGGCTTTGTGGAAAGCAAGATCTTGGTGTTGGAAGGGCTGGAATGCTTAGCAGAGTGATCATGGACAGCGGAAAGAGTCTTGACCAGCTGGGGCAGCAAGTCATTATACGTGCAGTCGCTTAGAATCACCAGGTCCCACGCCCGCGACGTCACCTCAGGCCCAAAAATGCCGTCCTTTCCGTCTTCCCAGTCCAAGTTTTCGTACATTACGGAGCAGGCTGTCTGGTCCGCCGAGCGGGCAATGTTGGCCAGCGTCCGTTCTTCTGCGTCAGGGAGATCGGTCATGAGGAGGGTCGATTTCTCTGCTGTTGCGTGCGATGATACTCCAAGGATGCGCGCGACACCAAGGCCTAAAATGCCCACACCGCAGCCTAACTCCATGATGTTCAGAGGTCCATCATTTTGTTGCAATATGTTTGCCAGCATGGGCAACGACGCCTTGGTAGTGGTACCGGCGTTGGGAGCCGTTTGGCCAAGGATCATGTTGGCAACAAAAGAGGCGGTGGTGAGGCCGCCATCCCACACATGACGGGCCATGCTCTCACCCATTTCCTCTTCCACCTGAAGCGTCGCGGTTCCACCAGGCAAGCGCAAGCTCCGGAAGCAAATATGGTCGTTCGGGCCAGGTGCGAGATCTGCGAAAACAGGGAGAATCAAGCCGTCTCCGGTGCCAGAGCTGATGTCGTCGGTGATGAGGGCCGTCAATTGTCGGCTGGTTGGCCTGACTTGGACCGTCTCGATTGGCTGTGGTGGGAGTAGAACATCGACCTTCAAGACACGCATACCGGCCCTCCAAGTTGGAGGGTTCTTTGGCGTCAGGTTGATAGGCACCGGACCATTCTGTGGATTTGCTGGAGCGCCGGCTCCGATGATGGAAAGCTGTATCGGCTCATGAGGGCACAGGAATTTGTCGCTCAGGTCGGTTGTGATGGTGAGAACAAGTTTCAGTGTCTTGTGCCCTGACCTGCCCTGCTCAACCAGAGGTGGCCGACAAAATCGGATATAATGCATGATGAAGACGTCCGCTTTGGCGCGATGATGGCGTAGAAGACGTCAATAATTGGATATCGACTTGGATGTTGGATTCGTCGACGGGGTAGACGGGGCTAGAAGGAAATTTCCTGTCCCGGCAAGAGAGCTCCCGGCAAAGCCCCAGTCGGGCGCTGCGGACTCGGCGGAATGCAGGGACGGGAGACGGGCCACTAGGTCTCCGCAAAACCCCACCAGTTTTAGCGGGTTAGGGTCCACTCTGCCGTCAAGGGACCCGACCTGAAGTGATGACCTAAAGTTCCGGTCCCGGTCCTTGATAAGATAAGCAGCCCGGCCCGCGATAACGACGACAGCAACTGGACACTCGCGATCCTTCCTTTCATTATTACGTTTATGTTTCGTTTTGCAAATCTACCTTACTCTGCGGCTGATCTCTTAAACCCCGAAATGACTTGCCAAGGGAGCAAGAAAGGTCTACCCCTCAAATGTTGCATGCACCTCTGGCATCTCGGCGCCATCCGATAGACGGGACAGTCGGGGATCGGTTGACGCCGTGAGCTGAAAACACAACTTGTCTTTCCTCACATCACTGCATCATATAAACATTCAAGCACAGCACGCTTAGGTTGAACTCATACATTATCATTAACTCATTATCCCAGCAATTACTGGTTCTGTCTTCAAGTGAATTATTCGGCCTTTCAATCCTCAACTTTCGAATCTTCGGAGCCCTTCAAAATGGAATCCACCGATTCTTCTTCCGGGGCACCCACAACCACCACCACAAAAGACCCCATCACCCTCCTATCCACCATCCTCCGTCTAACCGAAGAGCGCATCATCCCGCTCACCCGCGCCGGCGTCTCCTCCGGCTCCAAGCTCTTCGGCGCCGCCATCCTCTCCCGCTCCTCTTTGCGTCCTCTAACCGTGTCCACCAACAACGAGCGCGAATCCCCTTTGCTTCATGGCGAAATCAACTGCATCCAGCAGTATTTCACCTTGCCTCCTGCCTCTTCTTCTCCAGAAGAAGAAAAAGAAGGCCAGTACCGCATCCCCACAAAAGACACCATCTTCTTCGCCACCCACGAGCCCTGCTCGCTCTGTCTGTCGGGCATCACCTGGGCCGGCTTCAACGAGTTTTACTACCTGTTCACGTACGAGGACTCGCGCGATCTGTTTGCGATTCCGTACGATATCGAGATCCTCGAGGAGGTGTTTCGGGTGAAGGCTCCCGGGGATACCGAGACCTCCCTGAAAGAAAGGCCGTTGTATAATAGGCGGAATAAGTTCTTTACGGGGAGGAGCTTGGTCGAGTTGTTGGAGGAGGCGATGCTCCCAGAGGAGGAAAGGGAGAAGTGGAGGGGAGAGATTGACCGGGTTAAGGGGTTGTATAATGGGTTGAGCGAGACGTATCAGGAGGGGAAAAGGGGCGGGGTGGAGAGTGCTAGTGTTTGGAAGTGAAGCTGGCGAGCCATGAAGTGGGAGGTTTTTTGTTGTTGTGGCTTGTTAATCGGTCTCTGTCTGTCTGTAGAACTTGTGGCTTTCCACTGGTCGAGACAGCTGGTCTCGTTGAGCTTTCTGTCTGTCGTGCAAGGAGAAAGAATCGTATACCCGAGCAATGGTTTTAAATGCTAGTGTGTTGATGTGAGCTGGGGACTGGGATGAAGGACAAAGTACCTGAACCGATGATGGTCGGCTGTATTATGGCCTGATCGACGTTCGTTGTGGACGAAGTAGGCCTGTCCTCGGATGTCTTTCCGTAAGTGAGAAGAAAGAAGAACATCCAAGCATTTCCCTCGCCCCCAAGTTCCCCTCTCATTGCTCACAAACTCGCAGTCCTGATGAGCGGCCTCTCCGGTCTCGAAAAGTTGCGAATAGCAATCGCCGTCTTCTGCACCACTTTCTCCGGAGAAAAGGCCGAAAGTCGCTTCCGTAGTCGGTATTCGTCCCGCTCGTCTTGCTGCTTCTCGGAGCTACCAGTGCCAGGAGTGGCCGGAAGTTCCCTTCTCGCCTGGGGCTCAGGTGTGGTGCGCTGGATTGACTCGTAGTCGTGCTCGCTGTTATTACATCCCTCTTCCCAAGAGAACTTTCGAGGGCTCGAAAAAAGAGGCTTGGGCTTCCACCCCTCTTGGTAGGACATGACTCTGTTCGCGGCAGGCGAAGACTTGGTCGGCGTACCTACGAATCTGGTCAGAAGGCGACAGCGGCGCTCCTTTCGCGCGGCAGACTCGTCGCTTGGGGGCGGGCTGGGGAGGTATCTCGGCTTCGAGTCATCGTGTTCGGATCTGTCGATGCTAAGGGCTTCCATGCTAGCCGCGATCGTGCTCGGGCTGCTAGTGGTGCTCAAAGGGAGAGGCGTGTACCGGGCCTTGAGGTCGGAGAGACGTTTGTAGCCGCGTCGCCGCTCTTTCTTATCGGCGGGACTGGCGCTTCGGCTACCATCGCTGCTTCTGCCGGTTTCGGTGGTGGTGTCGTACTCGCTCGAAACGGGGTCCAAGTCGCCGAGGGACCAGGAGGTGAGGAAGGCGCTCTCGACGGCCCATTGAAGGGTTCGGCCCTCAAAGTGGGCGGCCATCTGTTCCTGTCTTCTGATGATATCCGCTTCGACCTCGTCCTCGTGACCGAAGCAGCCCCTGATCGACTCGTTCAGAGAGGTATCCATGAGGTTGTCTTGCTCGGTCGTCGACGAACTTGAGCTTTGGGTCGAGGATCTCTTCAAGTATTTAGCATCCTTGGGTGGAACGGGCGGCAGAACGACCATGTTCTCTTCGCAGACTCGCTCTCCAACCAGTTTCAAAGCCTCGTGCAGGTCGATCTTCTTCATCAACCGCTGCCTCTCCAAGTCCTCCGTCCAACCCTCGTCGTAGTGCCCATTAAGTCCACTGATCAAGAAGTTAAGGAGGAGATTCTCTGTCAGCTTGAGGCTTCCAACGTTCAGCCGCGACCAGAGCGCATAGAACCTGTCCAGATAATCGGAGAGCGTGCCGAAGTTAACGACTTTGAGCATCAGCAGGTCAATCATGATGTCGTCTTGGCTCTGGTGCGGATCGAGTGGGGGAGGCCGGGTGTACACTTCCTTGACAAGCTCGTATAGACCTTTTGCGTCGTACGTCGGGTCATTGAGCGAGATCCATGGGTTTGACCGGCATTCTTTGTCGAGGAACGAAATCGCGTCGGCAATGCTGCGACGGATGATGGTGTATACTTTGATGCGGTTTTGCATCTGGTCCCATGAAAGATAGAGGGTACCGTCGCGCACGCTTCGCGGTGTTGAAGGGTCGCGGGCCTCGCTGTTGTTGTCTAGGTTGTAGTGTCGAAGGTGAGCGAGGACGGCGACTTCCCAGAGGCGGAAGTTGTCGATGCCGGTGAGGAGGGGTACCTCAGGGAGGAGAGTGCTCTCCTGGTTGTTGTAATACTGGTAGGAGGGTCTGCGTTCCCCCCTCTGGGGAAGATGGGCTGGAGCGATTGCAGCCATCTTCTGGGTTTGGTGTTGGTGTGTGTTGGCTCACTTTGGGATCACCAACGGGTGGTTGGTGGTTGAGTGTTGGGTAGAGGTAGGATGTCTCCCTTGAAATGACTGAAAACGGCGGTGGGAGCTGAGAACGGAGATGGAGAGGAGGAGTTCTGAAGAAATTGCTGCCACCCCAAGCAGCTTGCTTCGGATGGGGTAATTCTGATGGAAGCACTTGAACCAAGCGACCTCAGAACCTGACCGTGATCGTTTGCAAGCAGCAAGCGACGACGAGCAAGCTGTCGATCGACGTTGCGGGGCAGTTTGGACAAAGTCAACTGGTGAGCAGAAGAGAAGGATGGGAAAGGGCTTGGCTTCAAGTCGCGTGAAGTGGATGGAGAAGATAAGATCGTAGAGGTGAGCCTAGATTCGATGTTGGAGTTGAGAACCCGGGATCCCACCTGTTCGCGCATGAACAAGAGATGAACCTTGACTCGTTGGGGTGGACCGGATGAACCTGTCCGTGACCTCCGGGGAAGATGTGACGAACTCTGTGTAGGCCTTGTTCTGGGCAGGAACCGCAAACAGGGAAGGAGGGGTTATAACTTAGAATCAGATAATTATCAGATCTTCAGAGTACTGACGCCAAAGTGATATGGAAGTGATATGGCGATGGTCTGGTTCTACCCCTTACGATGTTGGCGGGTTAGGGTTACGAGTGCTACTACTGGACAGGAGATAGCAACCTGTGTGAAGACGACGAGATCTGTTTAGCAAACCAGGATATATATCGTAAGAAAAGATAAACGTGACATTCCACGAGCATTCTGACTGCTCTTCTACTAATTTCCTGTTATTGCAATATTCCTTCGCGGAGTTGTTGAGGAGTGACGGACTTCTCTACTATCAGAGCGGCACTCGATTCCTTCGCAGCCGGCCAAGGTTTGGGACGTTAATGATTCCAAATTTTCGCAGCGACCGTTATGAGACCACTGGTATAAGCTCGTAAAAATTGTTCTCGGCATTCTGGGTCACGTTGTTGGTCTGCACGACCTCAATGACGGGGGAAGGTTCAATCGTCCGAACGTAGAGGTAACATCCCGTCATCTCAAAAGGATACGCTACATGTCGCAACACCAGGACGGAGAAACATGGCGAAGAAGATATAGGCAGTGGAAACTTGAATAGGATCATTAAGCACATTATGGGGAAGATTGTTCCGCGCGTAGTAACATCTTTCAGACTTTTTTCAAATGCCCTAGCGTCTGCTTGTGCGTCATGGTCGTCCACGATCACATGCATGCCGCTTAAATTTCAAACACAGCTAACAAAGACACCGACACAATAGTAATCCAAGACAGTCAGAGAATTGCGTCCACTGCAAAGCTCCTTTGGAAGTGTGAGTCAAAACTTGTAGCTTGGGATTGCACTACCTGGTTTGCAGGTTGTGCCCTTGCCTCAGAACGAGACGCCCGGATACTCCACCCTTATCCACCTCATAAGCCCACAACCCATTCAATCTTTTCAACAATTCAAAAGCTGCATGGCGCAGCGGAAGCGCGCCGGGCTCATAACCCGGAGGTCACTCGATCGAAACGAGTTGCAGCTAATCAGCATTTCTTTTTTTTGCTTTTTTTCTGATTTTCCCCTTGTCCGGGTTTGTTTACTTTCACATATTCACCCCTTTTATGCTCTCTTTCCTCCCCTTCCACTTCTCGCACGATTCTACACTCGTACATCTGCTGTGGAGTTAATTTTCTGGCACTCTGCATGTCCCATCTTCATCTTCTTTTCTTTCATTGCTTTTTTTCTCTCAAAGTCTACCTAGAGGTACTTTGCTTCTCAGAGGTTTTCACTTCCGAGCATTTGACTTCCTCTCATTAGTCTTCCGTGGACATCCCGCTACGTACGAACAACACTTCGTAAATCCTCTGCGCATCGTCGGTATTACCGGACACAACCTCACTTCAAATGATCACTCACTTTTTCTTTTCCAACAACCGCTCACATCTACCGTATTGAGGTGTGAAATCATCCCACAAGCACCGGACTCTTCACATTCGGCCTTCACCCCAAGACCCGACAATGGCGAAGCACATACAATCAGTACAATGACATAGCTTTTCCAACCCAATCTCACGCCTGACCCGAACGACCGTCCAGCCCAATGCCCCTCCGAGATTGATACAGCAAAGCCTGAGAAAGAAGCCTCATGACAAGTTTGGAAGCTGAGCCTCCTCTTTCGATCGGACGGTTCCATACAGTGCACTACACTAATTCGTCAGAAAATCTCAAAAAGAACTGCACACGCCCCCCCCTGATGTGCATTTGCGGTTTTTGCGCCGCCGAGAGAGATCACGAATCGCTTTTGGGCGGATGAGATCTCACGTGGTGTTATCAATCACATCTGAACTGGAGCTGGCTTTTTTCGAGGTTCCCCTCATGGCATGGCACAGGCCAAACCCGGCAAAGCCCAACGGTACATGGACCAGGAGGAGGTAGCATCGTTGCATTTGCGAAAATGAATGATCCGGCTCTATCGTCATTTCTCACCAATCTCGACCTTGGAAACCGCCGGATCGCGGGGCCCAGATCTGGATGTCGATGGAAAACTCCAAACTTCAAAGAGGGGAACTGAGATTTGGGGCAGTGCTAAATCCTGATTTTGGCGCTAACTCGGCCCAACGATAGGGCACCGAGGAGCAGGACCACAGAGGGGCATCTCGATAGCACTAACAGATGCTTGTCTTAAATACCCCTCCGTAGCATCGATGAGGGGTATCAGCCTCTAGTCCGATGTTAGCTCTAAACACCGCGGGGCCGTCTCCAACAGTTCGGACAAACCTCCGGCTCCCAGTAAAAGGGCACCGCGCCAACCGCGCGCCCGGCGGCGCCATGCGATGCGCCATCCATGCGATCACGGCACATCTCAGTGCATGACATCGCCGAGACTTTGTGCTAGAGGGCGCTAAGAACATCGTCATCTGGCGCTAGAGTTTTGGGTTTTCACGTAACATCCAATGTTCCCATGATGATGCAAAATGGACGTGGAGAGATACTCGTTCGACGGCATTCCTAGATGGGAGAATATCGAGCAGTCATATCTGACATGATGCCGTACGTCTTGTGAGCGCTCGAAAGACTCTTGAGGCCAACGTCCGTCACTGAAGAGATGGAACTTTGAGAGAGCTGGCCAGGGTGTAGTATCACATGTCAGAAAGGACAATTCCAGACCTCTGCGTTATGTTATTTGATGCCTCTCCAGAGGACTTTTCCCTCCATCAATCCTCGCGTTATAGGAGCCAGAGGACTTGTTCCCACGAGGCACCAAAATCAGCATGATCGACCTACCTAGTCAGTCCAGTCTAACGACACCCCCAACGACGTCACCCATCAGCAGTCTCGGCTACATCTACATGTAGAGGTATCCATCCACCTCGGATCCATGCGGCACAGGAGTCGAAAAGGTCCAAAAGCCACCCCCATTTCGAATCCTTATCCCGAGCCTACCGCATGGCCCAAAAGCAGGACAATTCAAGCCATCAATCATGCGTCCGACTTCCGACCCCCATTTCCCGATATGGCGGCCGGCTTTCAGGCCTTTTAAGGGCTTGGCCTGGTCGCTTCGAACCTGACCCGACCCGACCCGACTGGACCCAAGTTCCCAACCCAGCCATTCAGGCCACATTCAGGCCAGGCCCAAAAATCTGGTCTCATCGGAATCGGAATCGGTAAACGGACGCCTATGGAGTGGTAGGTACCAAGATCTGGTGAAGGATACCTATGAGTAGAAAATGCGGGGAGAGGGGTCAAGATGGGTGTGGTTACGATATGGACCTTGTTCGCATTTCGTGGATGTTGCGCCCATGGATCAATGTCATGCTTCATGCTTCATGCCGAACACCACACGACAGCGAGACTGCAGCTCGGGTGTACTTACCTTATCTTACCTACTTCACTGCGAACTTGCAGAGAGGCACGAGGAGGGTCAAGTCGTTTGGAATTACTTGCAGCGAGCCAAGTTCAACAGACCTCCACTCCATTGAATCCGGCCCATCTTCCACGCACCGCTCCAGCGGAAACACACTTGAAAGAATTCAAGACCAGAGCAGGCATACAAGACATGATAGCGGGAGCCGCAAGGATATATCCCTCCCTAACCGTCTCTGTCTTGAACTTAAACACTCGATCGACCGCCGCCCGAAACCCCTCGCTCGCCCGAAACAGACCAGTCGATCCGATGAACCTGCAGCGAGGCCGGCAATCATCGGCAACTTGAACCCAACCCGCTTGTTTCAAACACAGCGTTGTTTTGAGACATACATTTACCACCTGCCGACTGGTCTGTCTGTCTCTTTGCATATGTGAGTGCCCTGGCTCCTGGGTGTTGTGTGATGGAAGTTGGGAAGAAAGGGGGAGGGGGGGGGAGCCGGGGACATGCGAAAGGAGCTGGATATTCGTCGCCTTGCGCAATGGGATGGGCTTGAAATTCCTGTCTTCAACTTCTCACTTGTTGTCAGACTTGCCAGGAAAGCCGTGCTACCTCTAGGGGCTGGAGTCGGTCTTTTCAATGCCCGCCTGGTTGTCAAGGCGGCCTACCTCTACCTACCGGGGCGATTGTTGGCCGTGGAGGAAAGCGACTGGATCCCGAGGCGGCCTACTCGGACGCCGGGTCGTATTATGCCGTGCCGTCTCGTACCTAGTGTACCTTACCTTATGCTGTCACCGAAGGTGTGCGTAAACTAAGGTACAATGGGCCGACGCAGGGTCCAATTCCTCCTCCGGGCCTTGTGTACTACCTATCCCCGAGCTTCTTATCAATCGCGGCGCGGTTTGCGGTTGCAGTTGCTGTACAACAGGTGCACACGCACGGCATTGAACACCGCCGCTTCCTTCCTTGGAGGAGATGACTCAAACAGGGGGGAGGGCTTTGCCTTGTCAATAGGTACCTCTAGGTCTAGTGATCGGGATGCTTCTTTGGATGCTGCTCGTGGCACCCCACGCTTTTCCTTGCCGTTCTCAATCGCAGGGTCCATCCGAACAGGAGACACTTGCACAGCAGATGATGGATGTGAACACTGGGTAGGCAGTGTGGGGGCATACCTAGGTACAATCCTTTACTGCCGCGATATCCTTTTGAAGACTTTTCCGAACTTCCAAATGGCTTGTGAATGAACAAGAGTTTGTAACGTCCCCTTTTCCGTTCGCTAAAGCTGTATATCGTGGGGTGAAGGGAACCAAAGGATGGGATGTCGTTGGATGAGCGTTCAGACCTCGCATTCACAATGCCGCATGACGAACTTGACTTCGTGATAATAGCCGCCGAGGAGAGCTTGTAGGCGGGGTAGGGACCTACCTAGCTAGAGGTATCCTAATGTTGAACTACCCAGGGCCCTGGAAAACAAGTCACCTGAGGCTTGTCGTTTCGTGATGCCCAGGACAGCATGGGACGTACCGAAGATGTCTGTCTTGCATACAAGGGAATAGCCAAATGCTCGATGGATTTTGGGTTGCTTTCTGCTGGATAAGACTTCATCACCATCAAACAGGGGAGGGGGGGTGAACGGGAACTGTTTGAGTCTGCACTGTGCAACTCACTGCTTGCTGTGTGAACGGCACGACATGTTGCTAGGTGACAGTGAGAATACTGAGTTTGGTAGAGGCACAAGAGGGTAAAATGCGCCACACCCATAACACCCCATCCCGCAGTCCCGTCTTATATTGACCCTCAAAAAACGCGGTGCGTATATCGGTGTTAAATAGCCATGTTTGCATCTAGGTAGCGTGTTGTCCACCCTGTCTAGGTCCGAGAACCTACAAGAAAGGACTGTAGCCGGCGTCGAAAAGACCACAGATATGGTGATAATATGTAGTAGGTATACGCCTTTGCAGTTCTACAGCGAGCGGTCATCCATGGTCTTAGTCAGAGCAAAAGAGCGGATCATCGAAGAAGTCTGAAGGCGGTAAGTTCGTTCCCGTAAGTCATCAGCGTAGCTGAGGTAGTACAAACCGCAGTTATTTCCAGGGTTCAGGATGGTGTATTGATCTTTCCTGTCACTAACAGCTGTGCGGGAAGTTTGCCTATTATAGTGTTAGCGCCTGGTTGCAGTGATGGTAAGACACTCTTGCGCACATCTCAGCACACATCTCAGCACACGCAACCCACACTGCAGTAATAAGCGATCTGCTTTATTGATCACCGATGCAGTCAACTTATAAGAGCTCAACGTTCATTGGTTTATTTCCCTTCGAAATGCTGTTCCTGCACGTAATCGCAGTTTGCCGCCCGGTAGAACTGTGCTGATGTTTCTTGGCCCTAGACATTACTATTCCCAGTTGTGAACTCCCTGTGAAGAGAATTTGAAGGAGGACATGGAGGGTGCGATGGTGACGAGTTGAGTGATTGTGATCTAGATGACCGTTGACACTTCCTGTACCGTAGTCGCAACGTTCTTGGAGAATGCAGTGACTCGGATGCTGTTATCACTGACACGTCTTTTCCTACCTTCGCTCTTGTGCCCATCCCCTATCCCTTTCCCCTGTCGAGGCGGGCAATGAAGGCATGATGCGTTATGTCCAAAATCGCTGGCATATACATGGCTTCGGAATTATGCTAAGGAAACGATCTTGCAGCCATGCCATGCGACGAAGAGGCGAAGTGGATGTGCTCGAATACCACTCTGTATCGGGTGCTCCGAGGCGTAGACTTTTACGCAGTACACCGTAAGCTTCTTCGCTCTCATTTGTCAACCAAGTTCTGGAAGTCAAGACTCAAGAGGTGACCGTGGAACCGTGAATTCTGGGTAGCGTTTATGCGTCAGACACTCATGAGCATGTCTAGAGATCGAAGAGCATTCTTACCTGTGTAAGTACCAAAAAGCGAAAGGTGAAAAGAACTGGCGGTGACAAGGTTAATATATGAAGAATAGAGCGCTGTTGCATATACCCTATTTGGACTGTTGATTTCGAGATTGTCTGTTAATGCTAGACCTGTACAGATCAGCCAAGGTAATCCGTCCGTGTGCACAACATATGGCTGGATACACAAACGCAAACTTGGGGTTGTGATCGTAAAGATGGACGAGATGTTTGCAAGGCGTAAACTCTATAGTAAGATCCGGTAGAAGGGGGAGTGTGCTTAAGCCTGGTTACCAGCAGAACCAAAGAATATAATTGTGAGATTCGGAGAGCGGCCCATTTTGAATCACAATGAACTGCCATTATGGCAGAAGACTTTTCATGTGCATTTGCTACCATCTTCGCCGCCTGTCAACCGCCCTTGCTCGATGCAGCTTGCACGGAGATCTTCTGCCCCTGACTTAGCGTTGCTTGCCTGTTACCCAAGAAGTGTGGTGGAGGCGTAGGCAAGGCGCTTGATAGTGATACTATAAACCAGTGATGTTTATAGGTTATGCAGTACGCCCACATGGCACCCTCGACGGTATGTAGTATGTACCAATAGGCACAGAAGGTGGTGACGAGGTAGCATCCTGGGGGTGGTTTGCTATTGTTGGTTCTGACAATCTACGCTCATCGAGAGCCACACCACCACCAACAGGCCCCCGTCCCGAAAAAAGGCAGCAAATGAACGCAATGGAAGATAGCATAGAACAATTTCAATGTTCCAAATTTGTCCAACTGCCGACCCCAAGCAAAGAATACTGGTGAGCAAACAAGGGGAAAACGTGGTATTGAGCCACGTTGAGTGGATTATGGATACAGAAAGTTACCAAACAATGGGCCCGATTATGGTGTTGCTCGGCTTGGATGCCTGTGTTATGCGCCCAGACAGCGAGGTCAAAACGATGAAAGCATGGTGTTCAACGTGAAGCAACCACTAAGTGCAAGATCTGTTGTCCCGTCGCCATGCTCCTCGTAGGGCTGGCTGCCTGATGCTTGGATAACAGTTGCAAGTCATGGCATGATCGAGATGTAGTGCTGAGTGGGAGGGCGAGACATGGTTGTTTTCAATGCCTGGAGACTGGAGGAGAAGACCGAGAAGTGAAGGCTCAAAAATGCTACCCAGCGGCATGTTGGTTGCGCACCTGTTCCGCATCGTCGAACTACAGCGTATCAACAGTCTCCTCAACAGTCGAAGGGGTTGCCGTGTGACGTGATACAATGACTATTGATGGTCGAGTCAGAGGAAGTAATCGGAGATGGTGTGCCTGAACTCGCCAACGGGTACTATCGACGGCACAGCCGGGTCACTTGTAAGGCGCCGCGCATGCAGCCGGCAAACAGTTGGGATGGTATTTGTAGCCTCGCGGGATTGTCAGGCATGCAGCACTCTTCTTCAACTGATGTTATTTGCGCCTCGATTGGATACGGAGATAGGTCGTAAAGGGCAGTCGAAGAAAGCGCTCGGAAGGTATGAACTGGGGAATGCAAACCCTTCGTTCGCCTGCCACACTTATGTCCGCGTCGCACATGTGTACATTCAAACTGGCGTATCCTCGGACCGGGTTTCAGAAGGGACGACGCCTTGTTCTACCCACACCCGGGCCCCAGCTTTTCCACCCCAACTTGAACGTTGCTTCGTGCTCGCTGAACGAGATGTCGAGGCGTGAGCTTCGAGCCGTTGTATCAAGGGGTCAAGGGCCGTTTGCTCCGTCGTTCTCTGGCTTTCATCCATGCGGGCTCGCAGCCGTATCGGTCCGTGCTGTCGTCAGCAGGGTCGGGATCCGGCAGCAAGGTGTCGGCAGGAACCCGGCGAAGGAAGCTGAAGCAGGAAGTGGTCAAGCCTCAACACGCAGAACACGGGTGGCTCGTTCGTTCGACTCGTTCGTTTCCCATTCTTTGACGTCGTACCGAGCTGATATATCAATGTTGGTGAGCGGACAACGACATGCTTACCTGTACTCCCTACCCTGTGGCTTTGCATGCTCCCGCAGAAAGCTAGGACGCCTTTATTCCGAGTCCAATCACCGGGACCTTCATGACGGCATTCACGCCGCAACGTGGATGTCATTGCAGACATGCTTGGGAGAGAGCGAGGCGCAGTCGATGTGGACGGTTTGCCGGGTGTTGATTTCTGTTTGAATTCTCGGGTTGAAGACGTTGATGTCCAAACTGCCTCACGGGGCGAAGAAGGAAGACAACGAGATTGCGGGTAATCTGATTTCAATGACAAGAAGTTGAAGCCCCGACGTTGAAAACCAACGAAGGAAAACGGGAAGGGATGGAAGTGGAAGATGTCGGCCGTGCACCCCCGGACCGTGACCCTGGAGGCAGAAGGGGGGGCAAATAACAGGGCGTTCAACAGCTTGCCGAAAGTCACGTTAAGCGACTAACGGGAACTTAGAAAATATGCGCCTGTACATGTACTGTCAACCTAACCGCAAATTTCACCCAACGACCGTTGAGAGAAAAGTTCCGTTATCGTTCCGTTGTAGAGGTTTTTGGCCGGGGAAAAAAGAAGGTTTCTATCCTCTTATTCCAAGGTCTTCTCCAAGGTCCACCTTCTCCAAGGTCCGCGGTCTTCTCCAAGGTCAAGATCATGGTCAAGGTCACGATGCATCATCTTGGACGGCACTTTTTAGTAAGAGAAGATTTTAAAAAGAAATGACATGGTCACGATTCGAACTGGAGGTCTACGAAATAGCTACGGTTGCTACTACGACTACGGTATATGAACATCTACGGGTATATGCGCGAGAAGTGGGAAAGTAGGGCTTATATGGTGGGGTTTGAAGGTTAAGGAGGAAGGAGCGAGGAGGAAGGTACATCTTCGGAAGGCAATATTGGAAAGGACACCGATAGAACAGCGAGTAGAACAGAGCAGAACAGGGCGTTTTTTCCAAAGTGTATAATAGCCGAACTTGGGTTTTTCGTTTTAAACGGAATTCCCAGCCAAAATTCTTGTACAGGATCGTTCCAGAAAGGAAACGCTGTTAACAGCCTAACGGCCTACGAAGGCCCTGTTATTTGACCCCCCTTTCCCTCCAGGGGAACTTCGAACTCACCCACAAGGATCAAGGCCAAAGCGCTGAAAAGCTCCTGCGGCCACCTTCTGTGACCCAGCTCGCCAGTTCCCGCCGTCCCCTGTTCACTCCACTGGAAGGCAACCACAAGAGCCCCAAAAGAGCCCCAAAAGACCTCCTTGTAAAAAGGAAAGAGCCCTACGACGCGCGCGGGGCAGCACACAGTGTTCATCCCATCTTGCCCACCTCTGAACAACAGCCGGGAAGGATCGACCGCACCCCACAGCGGAGCTCTTTCCACACTGGACCCGACTGTGGACACGTTTTACTTGCACTACAAAGAAGGAATCCACTCTGTCCATTTTCCCGGGAGGGTTCCACTCACTTGTCTCCTTCCATCCCAGCTTCTCCTTGAATTCGAACTTCCAAGGTTTGGGTATGCATGTATCCCTTTAACGGTGAAATGTCGACATTTTAGCGCGCCCCGCAAGATACCTGGAGGACTTGGTGACGTGGCTTGTCAGCTAAGCACTTCGCCTACATTGCTAGTAAACGCTACCAAGGCTAGGGTTTCCGGGGTCTTTGTAAGCACAAGAGGTATCCTGCAGGAAAATAGGAACCACCGATTGGCTCAAACTTGCAGGACGCTAAAATGTCGACATTTCACCATTAAAGGGATGTACGATGATGAAGAAGACTCAGTCAAGGAAGTTCAAAGCCTTGGAAAAAAAAACATAGCAATATGGAGATGGAAATAACCATAACATCCAAGGTAAAAATTCAACGATGATGCGCAGGCTTCGTTTCCACATTGACACAACAGGAACAGCGAGGAACAAGGACGTGTGCCTCTGAGGCTACGTACTGGGGATCCGTCAGTTAGCCTCAAACACCTCGGTGGACCAGTTCGCCGACCACCTTCTTGGCACTGCACCACTCCCTCGATCAACAAAAGGGGAAGGGATGACTGACTGAAGGAGTGAAAAGGCAAAAAAACCGAAAATATTTCTGGATTGCACAGCAGTCAGGGCCCGGGTTGCACATCGTGAGATTTGCAACGTGAGGCAGCGAGCGAGGCAAGTCTGACATTCACGCACAATTCACATGTATGCCCTGCACACACATTTCCATCCAAACAAAGTGCATCGCATCACCACCCACCACAACTACCTACCCGGCCCTTGAAATAAGCAAACCACGATGATCGCGCGGAATATCAAACACCTTAAGAGAAAAAAAAAAAGTCAAATCACCTGTGCCGCTCGCTCTAATAATTTGTTTTTCTGATGGCGGGCGGGAAAAAAAGAGGGAAGGAATGTCTCTTGACTCTGACACCCCTGAATTGCTTCTGCCCACTGCATTCCATGCCCACTTTCCCGCCCCGTCACCGACGCACAAGCATGGTGACCAAACGGCAGGCGCGGTTCGTTCGAAACACACGCGCGCACGAAAAAATTTCACTTTTCTCGTGCCAGTAGGCACGCAGTCACGATTCACAAGGGGTGTCCACGCTCGGCGATATGTGCGGAAGGAACCACAGAGGTTGTGAGCGCTACGAATTCCACGGAATGGGTTTAGCAAATGAGTGATCGTCTCTCATGTTGTAATGTTGGTAGGGCACGGCATGTGTGCGTGCAATGGTTTTGCTACGAGTTCGATGACTGGACTGGAGCCTGGAGGCAGATTTGGGGAAAAGAAGCACAAGCACAAACGTAGCTCGAACGGCAGTACAGCAGCACAAACGGAGTTTCTCGAGCTGTGATGAGACGTGACGCCAATCTCCGGTTTAGAGGGTGTGGGAAGGGACCACATATTCACATGAATTCACAGCGCGCAAGGCAACGGATTTTGGAACGTGAAAGAGTTTGACAGAATAATGTCGAGGTGTGTGTGTGTGTGGTGAATTAATACAAGCTAGCTACATAGTTGGGAGGGGAGGGTTGATGTGAACCCCCTTTCTGATATCCTCCTCCAATTTCAATTCCGTCTCTATCCACCCATACCGGCAATCTTTTTGTTCCATCCTGACCTGAAAAGAAAAGTGAAAGTGAAAGGAAATGTTGGGTATATCCATCCTGTGATCCCCATTGGAGCTGAATATCCAAGAGAAAAAGGAAAAAAAAGGAACAAAACATCGACGGCCCTTTGAAATTGTGTGAGCATCGTCATTGAACAACCTGTAAAAGCAAAAGCGATCGAGGGCATATCATCACAGCCCAGTGTGATGTGACAGAAAGATAAAAGCAAAGTCGCCAACCCAATTTTTTTTGACATCCAAAACCCGAGCGAACTGAAGTGAAAAAAAACAAAAACCACAAAACACAGTGATTACATAGGGTGATACTTGGTAAAAAAAATCGTCCTCCGCATAAGACCCATCCAAAACTTTTGAGTTCCTTGTACAACCTGAGTTTCGTGTGATGCAGTTTCTCGCTGACTGCTATAAAATCGTTTCCCCATCCTTTGCTTTCGTTTGCGTAAAGTTGACTTTGGGCGGGCCGTAGTTTTGCACCACGCCGCGCCGTAGAAATGGCAGTCTTGGGTATCATTGATAGGAAATGGGTGTCGTGTCTGATGACCGCCCCGCTGTTGTTGTCGTTGCTGCTGGACTCCTCCCCTTTATCGTACAACCAGTCTTGTCGGAGGGTATATCGAATTATTGAGGGGTGAATATGAGAGGGGATTAAGCGGTCGGGTTACGAAGGATATCCTCGCAGTTGGCGTCGAAGCGAAGATTCCACAGGCGGACCTGGGACATGAAACGCTCCGTCTTCTCCAGCTCCCGCTCACGTCCGAAGAGGGTGTCGACAAACTCAACGCCAGCGCCCTTGCCGAGCGAAGAGCTCCGTTGCTTGGCGGTAGAGCGAAGCATGGGAGCCTCACAGGCCTTGAGAAGCTTGCGAAGCTTGTCGGTGAGGCGGTCACCGGCCTCCATGAATTCCTGGAGGATCTCCTTGTTCTCCTTGGTACGGACTTTGTCCATACAATGATCGGCACGCTTGATTTTTCCGGCCAACTGGATCAGGAGCAGCCACAGCTCTCCGGCCATCTCAGAGATAGGGGTAGCGGGACCGTGATGGTAAACAGTCCAGTCATAGATCCATTTGCCAAGGGAGTTGGCATCAAAGACACTTCCAAGCAGCATGATGGGCTCCTCCGTGGGATCCCAGTTCTTCAACGAATACCCGGGAGGGATCTTCCAATTCTTGGCATCTTCCTCGGTCGCCACACGTGTCGGCGGTGGAGGCTTCTTGTGAGAGGAGCTGGCTGGCCTGGCTGTCTGGGGGCGCTGGGGGACTGCATGTGATGTGGAACTGCGACGTTGTCCTGCGAGAGGCCTGCGGTCCGTCCGGTCCGAGTCGTACCTGGGGGAAGGGAACGCGGACTCTCTGTCATAATAATCACGGTGCGGGCCGGCCTGTGCATAGCAGTGGTAATCAGTTCCTTGTCCACCAGCATTGACAGTAAAGTAATCCCGGGTGCTGTATCGCTTGGATTTCGATTGCGCAGGCACCATGTAGATGACGCCGTCGAGCTCGATCTCGACCAGCCGATTCAGCCGGTCCAGCTCGTCTTCGTCGGATTCTCCATGGGAGTCCGAGGCCCGATAATAGGAATAGGAACTTCGCCGCTCACTCTTGGAGTTGGAGCGAGGGTCCGAAAAGCTTTGCTTGCGCGATGACCGCGAGTGACTCACATTGGCAGTGGCATAGTGGCCGTCGCTGGTGTAGCGGGGAGAAAAGGAGCCGCGAGGGCTGCTGTAAGCGTTGGTGTAGCCGCTGACACTGCCGGACCGGAAGTGAGCCCGCGTGGCCGGTCGTTGTGGTCGGGGAGGAAGCTCGGTGAAGTATGCCGGTTGCCGGGGCGAAGGTGTTGTCGAGGCACTGGCGAACCTGTCCTCGTCGTAGTGGGCGTAGACGTCCCGGTACCGGGTAGACTCGTAGGGTGAATAAGCGGCCATGTTGTCGATGATGTCGTTTTCTTTCCAAATCTTTTCCTGGACCTCAATAACCACAAGTTGCTAGTTCCTCTTCCCTTTCCAATAACTGTTTCAACTGAATCCCTTGCTCTTTATTGCTGCGCGTATTTCCCTGACAATCCTGAATTGATGCAAAAATCGCGCCTGATGTCGTGACGCGGAGGAAATGACACCCGTCACCTGGGTATGCGGTCGGTAGTGAGATGAAGGAAGGAGAAGCGTCTTCTGCTTTCGAACATGTCAAGAGTGTGGTGATGTGTGTGTCGATGACCCCCGGTGCAGGATTCCTGGGATGATGCAACAAAGTCTAGATCGACCTTGACTGCAGGCGTGTGGATAATAGTGGATCCCGCTGCGCTCCAGATTGGATGACAGTTGGGGACGATGTCGTGGAAATCCGCGGTTGGAAAGCCGTTGAGACGGGAAGGTGTGTGAATTGGCAGAAAGGAGCCAGATATGTCACTGAAAAGTGGTGTGAAATGGGTGGTTGGCGAACTTTATAACCGGAGCCAAATGGAAACCAAGGTGAGAAGACTGGACTCCTCCCACTCGCGCGGAGAGGGCGGGACGACTTGGCAAAGGAGACTGGCGCCAAGAGCCATAGACCAGGGATGTGAACCAAGTCAATTTTTCGAGACCTGTCGCTCTCTGCAGCTCTGCCCCGTTTGGTGTGGAGGGGGCGTGGCTGTAGAAAGGGTACGTAGCGAGCCACGAAGTTGCAGTAGCCTGCTTAGGCTTAGTCACTTTTTCGTGATGGTGGGAAGATGCTTGTCAGCACTTTTGCCAGAAGGAACCACACCCCGACTGCGTTCTCACTGTGACTGGATTGCACTGGATTTCCAGCCAGTCACAAATGCGTTCCCAGAGCTCTCTGTCCGAGACTGTCAAATGCCTGGAGAGAGAGAGCCGCCGATAGGACTGGTCTGGCGATAGCCTCTGACTCAATGCTGCCGTTGCCTCCTTCAGCTCCTCCAAAATAGACCGAGTGTATGGGCGACGATAACTCGGATTCGTTCTTTGTGCGCCTTCCTGATCGACAGGCAACTTCCAGCGTGCAAAAAAGAAGCACTTCGAAACGTCGTATGGGGGCTTGTTGGAGCTCGTGGAGCTGTCGCGTGAATCACTCAACAATCGCCGCCCAATCTACCGGGTTTCGACTTTCCCAGGGGCCCCTGAAATTTGCACAACAAACGCTAGAATGCCCTTGAAGCGCCCCCCGGATTCCTGATGATGGACAATCCCCAGCCCCCGATCCCGTCCAATCCGTGCCGGTCGTCGAGCTATAAGCGAAATTGAAACTCGGTCTGAGCGATGATGCTCAACGTCACCGCAGGGAGTATTGGTCGCTTCCAGTATTCCCGTCCGTGAAAATTTTCGCCTTCGTCCTTCACGGAGCTGTTTGGTGTTGCACTCCGGTTCGGATAGAAAGTAGGCAATCAAAGCTCTCGAAGGGAGGGAGGGAGCCCAGATTGCCGATGAGTCGTCCAAGTTGTTGAATCAATGCTTGAATTCCTTGCAAGTATGGTTTCGCGATTGGTAAGAATGGCTTTGGTAGGTCGTACACTGTGGCCAAGACAGGCCTGCGAGTTCAAGTTCTCGACCAACATTCGACCGGAACACCAAGCCAGATCAACCCGACAAGACAAAAAGGTGGAAGGTCCGGGAAAAGGATGGAGGATGAATCCAGCAGGAACGGGGGCTTTCTTTGAGATATGTAATCGGAAGGAAAGCGCAAGCTGCCATGGCTGCTGACATTTCTCCGTTTCTATCGCCTCTTGTGTTAGTCGCCCCTTCCACAGTTTACACGTTCATCGTCCAGGAACGGCAGGAGTTCCCCGCCGCAGACAGATGAGCAGCGGGATTATGGGAAGGCTTTCCCTGATCTCACCGTTGATCCTCCACTGCACCTACCTCGACATTGGTATTCCAACGAGTTGACGAGAAATCAATCAGGCTTCTCAACAGGTGACGTGAGACCGGTCGGATGGGCACGGGCAACTCTCTTCGAGATGGTTGCAACCATCACGGCAACCATCCTCGACCAAAAGAAGCCATCATGTGCACATCAGCCTTCCATACAGCAAAACGCCTGGATTCGCCAAGGCCATCGACACTTCCAACCCACCTCCAGTTCATCCACCGAAAATGCCAGATCGAGGTCAGCCTTTCCTCTCACTGCAACGCGGTCAGGCTGAAGTCCAAAGCTCGCCCCAGTTTGTCCCCGGGTTTGCAAGTGTTCGTCTCACGTGGCTGACCTGCATGCCCCAAAACCACATGCATGTGTATCCCCCACCGCTCAGTCTCATTTCCTGCTAACCTTTTGTGGTCCATGCATGGAACAAATGTTGAAGCTATACCCGCTTGTTCCATGTCGTACGCGGTGTCTAGTGCTGAGATTGACCGATAGCTTGATCAACCTTCAACGGCCCAGTCGCCGCTAGTCCAGCCTCCCTCCTGAATCCAGAAGCTGTCTCGGTTGGCTGAAACCTCGGCCCAATATCTCTTCCCTATCTCAATGGTTTCCATTACCGTGTCCTCTTGTGCGCTCATCTCAATCTGGGTGCTTGACAGACTCAAGATTCTAGCCAGGAGCCCTCCCCTTTTTGGCGAATAACGACGGTGAGGTAACCCTTGCGACTGTTACAACAGTGGTGATCTCCCCTGAGTGCCCTGAGCTGTGATGGAGTTCTGCTATATCGCCGAGGACTGACGAATGGGAAGTGTTCCCACTCCATTATCAGCTGAAGGACCCAGGGGCCTGAATCCCGGCACTAACCCAGCTGAAAATACAACATGAGCCTCACCGTCAACCGGATGTGGTTGGCCCTCGTTCCGGACAGTTCGGTCTTCGTCTAGCGCAACCATGGACCAGTGGATCACTGTTGTTGATCGCTCTGCGTAACCAACAACCGGCCTGGAGCCACGGATATAACAGAGCTTGTCCCCTGAACGTCGAGCCGTGAAGGCTAAACTTCCATGGGACTTTACGAGCCCCTTATCCCGCTGTCGCATTCACGCTGACCGTTAAGATTCGACATCAGACTTTCACATCCGAATACGCCCTACTCAAGTCGCAAGACACTCACCGAACAAAGTGCATTTCTTCTGAACGAGAAATGACCTCCAGTCCATCAATCACCCCCATTTCCTTCCAGGGTACGGCATGATTCCACCAAGGCCTTGTCGTCAGGCCTGTACACCATACAGTGCATTGGTACGGTCAGCTCTGTTCAACGTCAACAAGACTGCGACCACAGGCGAGGGCCATTTTCTCGTGGTGGACATACCTGTCTGCCGCCTGTCACACATGGTTTTTGCAATTTGCTGCACACCTTGCTGATGCTCACCTTGTTCCCGGCCCGGTGGTCGGCTCTTGGCAACCACACCCCCCTCCCCCTGCCCTTGTGCTTGAACATCAATTACGCATGGTGATTTTCCGGTGGCTTTTCCCATCAATCCTGGTCCAACATGGCACACACCCCAGCGACTTGGCTTCTTCTATCACGAAGTAACAAGAAAAGTTTTTCGAGGTTTGATTACGAGGAGGTGTGCTTCATTCCAATTACCAAGTTCGAAAGGAAATGATCAAAGTCCTGCGCACGAAAACGATAATCGGGCAGTCAATTGACGACTCTCATCAATGTCCATCATCCGTCCTATCAACAACGTGACTCACACACCACGTTGTTGTTGAGCGGTCTGTCGATGATGTACGCCGTATGCTCTGCTGCCCTACTGATGGCGCCTTGGTAGGTATTGTTTGCTGCGTTGATGTCCAATGTCGAGAGAGGGCTGTCGCTGATGGTGCTTGGGTTGTTAGCCAATAGCTCACCATGCCGGGCCGGTCTTTGATGCAGGTCTGGTTGGTTCCTGCTCCCGATTGGAGGTGAGGTTTTCTCAACGGGTAGTCGTCCCAGAAAACCATCTGCAAGTGCAGAATCAGAATTCTTATTGCCAAGACGTTTACAAGGGCAGACTAAGCCAGAAACGAGGATGAATGGCACCTCGACAACATGCCCTTTTCTCGAATCCTTCCCGCTCAGACGGGAACATGCAATGATTTTGCAGTCTTTTATATGGCAACGCATTGCTCACCACCTCACCGGCTTCGGCGTCCGGCCGTCGTTGCAGTCATCCTTCTCGGTTATGTCTCTTCACCGACACTTCCAATGGCGGCCGCACGGCGGGAAGAGAGGCTGGCGATAGTAACTGCAAGCAGTCTATAAGAAAAGTGCAGACAGACTCGGCTGCACTGCACGTTCATGTTGGACCCAACAAGAAGCCAGAAAGCGAGTTTGCGCGGCAGCATCTCATACGTCGAAGTGAGCAGGTCCGTCGGTGGAGTGCAAGCAGACTCGGACCCTGAAGGTGCCATGCCAATGCCGCCATGCCGCCATGCTGCCACGGGTTCCCTTCCCGATCCACAGAGGGGGTCAGGAAGACGCCGACGTCGTAGCCAGTTCACGCCCACGGGATAGTCGACGGCATCGTGTTCGAAGGCGCTTGTGCGAATGCTACCCGTCGTCGTCGTTCACCGATAAAGACGGAAGCAAGCGAACTGGGCGCTGTATGCGGCCATGGGTTCGAAAGGCGTGAATGCTACACGTGTTACGGAAGACCCCTCCTCAAACTTCGCTATCCTCGTTGAAAAGATGTACTGGGAAGCGTGTCGCATGTCATTCTAAATCCGTTGAGATGTTCGTCTTCGGGATATCCGTAGAATCCAGTCGCTCTTCTGGTAAACGATTTCAAATCCCAAAGATGGCGCTGTGTTGTACAAGGGTCTTCTCGTGTGGCCATGTATGGGCGTGTGGAATCGGGTTTGGCTGGGCTATCCCCGAAACTCCCCAACTGAATCTCGTAGTGAAGCCTGTGGATTGAGTCGATGGCGGAGGGCGGCCTCTGAGCTCAGGAAGTGTACCCAAGGCGAATAATTGACATTGAAGGTGTATTTTGGAAGAGACTCATCATTCGTTCTTTCTCGGGGGCTCGAGTCGATGAATGCTCTGGTCTGTCGTTGCAGTGGCCTTCGTGATCCTACAGTGGGAGTTGCGGCACTGTTGTTCGCTGACTTTAGTTCAGTGACGACACAAGTCGACAACAGGGCAAGCAGCGAGTCGGGCTCCACTCTCAGCAGATCCGACGAGCTGGATCCAGGCACAAGCCACACAGGACCTACCGCGAAGTTCTGTGGCAAGTGAAACTGCGCAGCCACCCCCGGACGTGCTCGCCTCGGAAGCGATCCAATATCTGGTTGGTCGCACTTGCGCTGGGTCGGGTCACCCACGTGGGCTGTCTTTTTTTTGGCTTGACTCCCTCCGTCTGCAAAGGACGGAAGCTCAACGAACTTCAACGTCTACTTGGTAGGTTCGATGAGTGAAGGCAACGACCCCTTTAATTCAGTTCACAACTTCAAGGCATAGGTACAGGTAGGCATGTTCGGGAATTCTTTCAACCTGTCACGCCAGCATGCCATCACTTCCAGCGCTCCAGATCTCCCTCCTTTGCTCTTTCGAAGCCCTAGTCTACAAGTAGATGACCGTGTGAGAAGAAGCCGACGTCATTTGGTAGGTACCGACTAAGTCAACAGCAATAGGAAACTGGGACGGAAGAGAGTCCGAAGTCGGGAAAGCGCAACTTGTAACAATACTTCTCCGCCAACAACTGTGTGTCTGGAAGGCGCGGTGCAGTGCGAGGGGGTATAAGTTGCATTTCTGGGAGTTCTGGACGGGGATCTTCTTTTTTCTCTTCTACATCACTTTTATCCACTCTTATCAATCTACATCATTTGCAACCAATCCAGACCTTGCATCAGTCAAGGGTGGACGCGGAGAAAGCACAGAACAGCAGTTCGTATCCCATCCGCAAATTTCCTTATCCAGATCCTGGAGTGGCTATACTAACACACTTACACTACAGGCCCTCATCGTCTTCACACGCTTGTTGATCCCTGCACATCACTTACAGATGCAACCGCACCCAATATCTTGATAGACGTGCAAGCGGCAGCAACACAACTCCAAGCTATAGTTAGGGACCCCCATCCACCCGGCCTCGTCGTGTTCACAGATGAAAGCCCGACCTCCCCCGGTCCTTCAATCATCGGAGGACTCCAAGTCTCCCAACGCCCACAACATCGAGGAGGAGGGCCAGAAAATCCAGCGAGTCCTACTCGCTCGGAACAGGGGAACCATCAGTCTCAACACCACCATCACCCCCATCCCCGAGCGCAAGAAACTTCCCTCCGCTCCCGGCTCCCGCGACGCCTACTGGCGGTGCTGTCCCGGCTGAAAAGGTTGCCCAGAATCCGGTCTTGGTTCCATGTCTTCGTGTTGTCGGCCGGCTCCCAAATGCTACATCAGCGACAACAGTAACAGCATCAACAGCAACAACATCAACAGCAACTGCAACAACAGCGGCAACAAAGGACCCGTCTCCCCTGCCTCTTCCTCCCACCGCCCTCACCATCCACCACACCACCGCCACCCCGGCCGCCACCCCGGGGCTAAAAACCTCGGATAAGATCACCATAGCATTGGGAGCAATGGGCGCCGCTGGGGTCTTTTGGATGGGTTAGCTGGGTTGGAAAAACCATAAAAAGGAGAAACAGAAGCTGGAATGGAAGGCTGCGGACAGGGCTGAGAGGGCGCAGCAGCAGCAGCAGCAGGAGGAGGAGCAGCAGCACAGCAACCGCATCAACAGCAACTGCAACAACAGCGGCAACAAAGAATCCGTCTCCCCTGCCTCTTCCTCCCCCGGGGTTTCCTCCCAGGAACCCTTCGGCTCCTCGCCGCAACCCTTCCCCTCCTCGCCAAAGCCCTTCGCCCGCCCCAATCCCCGACCCCGCGCAAGCCATGCGTCTGGCTCGGAGAGACAAGGACCGCCGGCGTAAGAGAGGAGGAGAGGGGGAGCAGAAGAACGAAATCGAGGAGGAAGGAAAGGAGGATGAGAAGGAGAGAAAGAAGAAGAGGAGAGCAAGAAGAAGAGAAGAGAAGACGGAGCGGAGGGAGAGGAAAGAAGAAGGGAAAACCTACCCGCACCCTACGATTTCCTATACGTATCCTACAAATTTCGCAATCTTTTATAATTCTTCACCACGACTATATGATTGCCCGAAACCTCGTATCTCAAAGTCGGTAGCGCATATCCCACATACGAAAGAGGTTTTCCTTTTGACAATAGAGGTACTTATTCCCATACTATTATTGGCGAGTTCTTTCCCCGTAACTCGAATTGCCCGATGTCCGACGACACCTCCACTGCAATTGATCATTTATCAAGACATTCTTGACCATTACTACTTGTTGCTGCTCTTGTTATTGACACACCCATTGGCCCACCATTAGGTAGTCACTTGGCCGCTCTTCTTGTCTTCCCCTATTCATCATGATCATTATAGTTGCCTTCACCTACGCGAAGCTGCTTGGCCGAGGCTGTTCGAACGAATGATAACCAGTTGCCTACTGACTCACAAGCCAAAGCCATATGCTCCTATCACGAGGCCTCCAATCCCTCGACGGCAGCAGCGACTGAATAAGGTAGGCGGACAACGACGACCCGTCGGCAAACCAAGAACCCCGACCCCGACCTCGACTGACCGGGCAGTGGCATGGATTTGGAGCTTCGAGATGAGACAGACGGGTGGCTGATGAAGGACGCGTAATCCTCCTATCAACAGGGCTTCCTATGTCTGTTATCGCCGAGTGGTGGTAATAGCCGCGTCTCAAGCACACAGTGACTCATTTTCACAAGCCTGTGCCTCAAGGGATGAACTCGACCGGGGATCAACCGGGCCTTTCACGCCATCTCAGCCTATGTGCTGCCGCTCGTTAATATTGGGAGATGAGACCACACAATTTGGCACTTTGTCTTTCGCATCGTCTAGACACCACCTCACCAACGAATCTCTCCTTCCCATACCCAGCGGACACAACCTTTGCTCCATCGCTTGCGGGTTCCGCCAGTGTGGTTGCTAGACTAATATTGATGGGCAAGTCGCCCTCCTCGTCTCCGCCCCTGGGAATCCCACCCTGGGGCGTCTATTGTGCGAGATCATCACCCAGGTAGCAGGTAGTATGCCTCATGGCCAAGGAGATACTCTAGCTCGTTCCTGTGTTCTTACCGAGTCAGTCTCATGTAATTGGAAGCTTGTTGGCCGATGGATCACTGGACTTATGCGTGGTGCTGTCATTGCTTCGACGATACTGGGCGGCCTGCTCGTGCTGGCTGCCTCACGTCGTGTGGAAAGCCATGATATCCGCTCCTGTTATCGGAAGCGGCGGCCGAGTGGCATCATTACGCGTTTCTTTGACCTGTCCCAGTCGAGAGAACGAGATACCCATGCCCGTTCCCCTTTCCCTTCAAATGTTGAGGTAACTGGGCTTTCTGGTTACGAGAAGCGACCTCTTCAATTCCCTGAGCTGCTCAATGATCTTCCACGACCATCGCTCGACCCCGGCATGCGTGCTTTATGTTTATGCTCACACCCGTTATCCCACAACTTCACAACGGTGCTTCCGAGGTAGTGCATAAGTATGGGGAAGCACACAGCGGGCGCCGTGTTACAAGGTCGGGAGCCTCATTCATCTAAGGTCAACCAATGATTTTCTTTGCGTTCAAACTACCTCCAGTCTACACGCCATTGTCTGCCTGCGATGCTGGCAACTACGCAGCCGTCATCGAGCAGAGCAGTTCCGCTTCCAGTTACACCGCACAATGATAGAGGTACTGAGGCTTGACCGAGTCACACTTCACACATGCATTGTTTTCCCGAACACTCTTTGTTGGCTTGGCTTCTCGATTCCCTCCTAGAGGTACCTATCTAATGGTGTCTTACACAAGTGAAGCTCGTGTTCCCCATGAATGCATGCATGGCTATCTCATTGAGTTCGATAACAACGTGTGTTCCATTGCCATCTTCCTTGCAATTGGCATTAACATTCTCATTGACATTCTTATTCCGCTGGTTGGCTCCGACGTGTAGCTGGTTCTGACATTCCCGAAAATCTGTACTGTGACTTTCTCGCCTCATCCTTTATCCTGTTTGCCTACATGTACAACAACCCATCTTCAATCCTCAGCCATACTCATACAATCCTTTCGATCGTGGCCGCCTTTCACGTCCTAAGCAGCTAGCCTTCAGTCTGGTATCCCCTGGGATTGAAGGATGTTAGCATATAAGCCCCTGTGAAAAGCGCAGCCAACAAAAGTTCCTTGAAAGTTCAAGCGGTTCAGATTGGTGTGAGTGATTTGTCATGGGTGAATAGGTCCACATAAGTTTGAGTGTTCAGAGATTTCAATCATTATTGGTTGTAAAAGAACTGTATGAAAAAGAAAGGAAAGCAGCCACTATACCTGGTATTTGCGATGCTCCAAGGGCCGAGTTCCCCAAAAGCAGTCGCGGCACTGGTTCAATCTCAACCCAACCTGCCTTCCATGTCGAACACATGCATCTTAGAATGACCTCAGATCGCTGATAATCTCGTCTTGAGTACGTACGCAAGAGAACACAAGTGTTGCAACCTGCATTGTACTTCAGAGACAAGGACGCTTCATCACAGGTCGCATCCACCTTCTTCTTCATGTTATTTCCCCCAGAAAGATCACAACCCCCAGTGTTCTCGAGGTTGTAGCACCGAAGGAAAAGCGAATCCAACACTGGTGCTGCACCTGAATATTCTCATCCCACGTACAATCTCAGCTCGAACGACGCAAGTGGTCTTTCATCATCATCGATTGTGTTATCCGTCCCCTCATAGAACCACTCTCACTTGGACCCTTACACTTTTCAGGGCTGTACTGCTTGCTCCACCGAGGTACCGTGTAACCGCCTCAGTTCATATGCGTCGTCTTGGTGAATCCCCCGTCGGTCGTCTTAGTGAACTCATCATTGGCGGCCCCCCGTTGTTATGAATCAAGGGAAGGAAAGGAGGTGAGCGCGAACAAAAGAAAACGTGAAGTATTACGATCCCTGGGGATCAACACGGGGACATGGAGCAAGCAGTACTGGGTGCCAGGGACGTGTACATGGAAGGGAGTTTTTCCCAGGCGCACCGAGGCACTGGTTCCACCCTATTCATGCGGCGACGAAGCGATCCGCCATATTCACGTCACACGGCGGTGCTTTGGAAATGCAAACGCGAAAGCCAGGATGGGATCATCGTAAGGACGCGGCAGCCCAACTATCCAACCTGGCTTCTTCCATGTTGAATGGGAAAACGAACTGTCATCGATGTTAGCAGCTGCCAGGGCATGAGGTAAAGGAGGAAAGGGACTTACCACACAATACGAAAAGAGAAGGCACCAAAGAGAAGATAGAAAAGATGAAGACGGAAAGGATGAAGAAGGGACAAAAGAAACGGGAAACAAACCTGGAACTGGAGGATGGCGGGGGAATAGTGTTGAACATCCCCACGAACATCCCCCAGCTACGAATATCCCCCTGTTAGGACCGTGTGATGATATGAAGATCCCCCAGTTAGTACGAAGTGAAAATTGGCATCCCCCGGTTACGAACATCCCCCAGATACGGCCGTCTCTCGATACTCATGAGGTTCTCTCTACAGCATCTACCGAGACCTTCTCAGATGCCGACCAGCACGGGCAAGCCACGATGCCAGGACGGGACTGAGGTGGTTTGTGCTTCGTTACGTCGACACCCCGGCAGACCGTAGGGAACCACGCGTTAACAACACTCCATGAAATGGAACAGGGTTTCCTTTGCAGGTTACCGCGGAGAGGTGCCCAGGACGTACCCAGACAACCTCCCCGCAGCTTGGTTGTTGTCCACTAAGACAACAAACACAAACTGCCCGTCAGCTAGACCACTCGGTTTACCGGCACTCGACCGGTGGTGCACTTGACACCAAGCATCATTCGGGAGCCCGTCAGCCAGAGACACTTGTCTCTGCTGGCACTTGCCAGTGGCGCACTCGCTAACCAAACTTCATCCGGGGAACGAAATACAAGGGAAAAAAACCCGTCAGCTAGACCACTCGGTTTACCGCCACTTGACGGTGGTGCACTTGACACCAGACATCATTCGGGATTAGGAAACAAAACCCTCCGCCAGAGGCAACTCGCCTCTGCTGGAACTACCAGTGGCGCACTCGCTAACCAAACTTCATCGGGGAAAAGGATGACTTACCTGTTACCGCGGAGAGGTGCCCAGGACGTACCCGGACAACCTCCCCGCAGCCCCCGATGCTCAAGAAGAACACCGAAGAACCGCCCGTCAGCTAGACCACTAGGTTTACCAGCCACTTGACTGGTGGTGCACTTGTCACCAAGCATCATTCGGACCCGTCAGTCAGACCACTCGGTTTACCAACACTTGTTGGTGGTGCACTTGGACACCAAGCATCATCCGGTAACTGAACCCTGGGCCATAGGCACTGCCTATGCTATCACTTGATAGTGGCGCACTCGCAGCCAAACTTCATTGGGAAAGAAGATGACTTTTGGGAAAAGAAGATGACGTTCGGGAAAAGAAGATGACTTACCTGTCGCCGCGGAGAGGTGCCCAGGACGAACCCAGACAGCCTCCCCGCAACCCCCTGATGTTCAAGAACACCAAGGAACCGCCCGTCAGCTAGACCACTCGGTTTACCAACACTTGTTGGTGGTGCACTTGTCACCAAGCATCATCCGGTAACTGAACCCTCGGCCAGAGGCACTTGCCTCTGCCGAGATGACACTTGTCAGAGCTCAGTGGCGCACTAGCTAACCAAACTTCATTGGGAAAAAGACAAGGAAAAAACCATAACCCCTCCGCCAGACCACTCGGTTTACCGGCCTAGCCGGTGGTGCACTCGACACCAGACATCATCGGGAAAAAAGCACAAGAAAATATCGTAATCCGTCAACTAGACCACTCGGTTTACCGGCCTAGCCGGTGGTGCACTTGTCACCAAGCATCATTCGGAAGGCCCTCGGCCACAGGCACTGCCTGTGCTGGAACTACCAGTGGCGCACTCGCAACCAAACTTCATCGGGCAGAAAGAACGAACCATGGAAATATGAAATATTGTAACCCGTCAACTAGACCACTCGGTTTACCGGCCTAGCCGGTGGTGCACTTGTCACCAAGCATCATTCGGAAGGGGGGCCCTCGGCCATAGGCACTGCCTATGCTGGAGTCTAGTGGGACACTCGTCACCAAACTTCATCGGGCAGATGATGATGAACCCCTAGCCAGAAGCATCATCGGGGAGAAGGTGAATGATTTGAATGAAAACATGAAGTGAGTGGGAAACATGAGTTGAACACGAAACATGAGGAGAAGAAACATGAATGAAGAAGAAATACGGAATGAAGAAGAAACATGAAGTGAAGAAGAAACATGAGGTGAGTGTGAACCAAACCGCGACCATGCGACCGAACACGCAAGAGACAAGACATGGAAACTGACAAACATGAAAATGACAAAGACAAAAAGAAACGAACACACATACCTGAAATCCCCCAGTGCCGACCGCGGGGAGATGCCCAGGAACACAAGTGAACCCGGACAGCCTCCCCGCAGCCCACGATGTTCACCACCCAAGTCGTGGGAGAACATCAAGGAACCACCTTCCAAACTTTCCCGTCAGAATGACAATGACAAACATGAACCTTCAGGCCTCAGGTCATGCAGAAGACTGCGTTTTCATCACTCGGGAAGATCAAGAAGAAGATCTGCCAACCCCACAATGCAAGCCGTTGACGACCGCGGAGAGGTGCCCAGGAAAACACAAGTGTGAACCCGGACAACCTCCCCGCAGCCCCCCGATGTTCAAGTGTGACCAAGAACACCGAGGAACCGCCCCCCTCAGTCCCGTCAGATTGACAATGACAAGATGCGTTCCTCAGAAATCAGAACAGA